TGGCGTATTACTGTAAATACGATAATTTAGGTAAAATATAATTAGTAAGTAATTAAGAGGTGTATTAGTAGAAATAATTATTATTTAGTAAAAATAATTATAAATTAAGATTAAAATAATTAAATGATTTAATTAAGATTAAAAAAATTGTAAATTGTAAATTTTAAATTTTAAAATTTGATTAAAGTGTATAATTAATTTTTGAAAAAAGGAAATGACAAATTATGTGGGACGGACGAAAATAGAAAATAAGAACAAATTATATGGGACGGAGGGAGTATTTGAAATAAGACGAAGAGAGTATAATATTTTATTTAAAATAAATTTAAAAATTATATTAAGTATTCTAAAATTTTACCTTACTACAAATTTAATATTGATTTGTTTTATAAAAAATAAAATTTTATATTATGTGTAAAAATAAATATATTTTTATATTTTTTTGTTTCGAAACAATTGATGCATTTGATTGGTTAAAATATATATTTAAAGTAATGAATTTAGTAAATTAATAATAATTTATTGTAATATTATTTTTTTTTTGCGAGTGATATTGTTAATATTTTAAAATTATGAATTAATATTATATGATTAAAAATAAGTTTAGAATATGTTTTAAAACATTTTAAATATTATGTCTGAATAAAATATACGCAATGTAGATATAATTTTATAAATAATAAAATTTTATATAATACAATTAAAAAATTAATTTTTTATTTATAATTAAAATAAACTAATTTTATAAATAAATGAAAAACTCTAAATATGAATAAAAATATTTTTTTATTAAAAATATATAAAATCGAAGAAATTTTAAGTGATCACACATATAAAATGTCAGAGATATAATTAAGTTGATTTATATATTTTAAATTTATTTAAAATTCATAAATTTACTAAAAAATATAAATATGTCAATTGTTATAAAACAAAATGAAAACATAATTTATATAAATTAAATTTATAAAACTAAAAATAATTTTATGAACAAATATTTAAAAAATATAGTATATTTTTTAAAAAATAAATAAACATTACATATTATAAATAAATTTTATTTAAAGAATAATTATGACTGTGAAGCTGTAACAAGGTGCATGCATGCATACATCATCTGTGAAGATTCAGAGAAATAGCAGCAGAGGTTTGTCATTTCTTGCAGCCGCTGGACCATTTTGACTGTTTTAGTTTGTTTTCTTTTGCTTTCAATTTCAGTTTTTAATTAATTTTAAAATAAAATAATATTTTACTTCCCTTCATCCCACGTACCATGTCTGCTACACTGTAGATACAATATTTTATTAGGGGTATAATTTGTAAATAATTAAGAATGTATTAGTGAAAATAATTATCCTATAATATTAATAATTATAAATTAAGATTAAAATAACTAATTAATTTAATTAAAATTAAAATTTAAAATGAGATTAAAGTATGTAATCATTTTCTAAAAAAAGAAAATAAATTTGGAAAATGAAATGGTAGGTGAGACGGACAAAAACAGCAACGTTGACATTGTATCTAGGACGGGGGAAGTATTTGATAAAATAATTTAGATATTCTTTCTCCATTCTACGTTAATTGTTCATATATTTTATTTTTATCTATCTTCTATAATTATACTATTTAATCGTATTTTAAATTTTATAATTTTTAAAATTTTAATTAAATTATTTAATTATCTTAATCTATAATTATTTTTATTATATCATAATTACTTTTATTTGAATTACTTACTAATTATTCTTTAAATAAATTTTAACGTTAACAATTTATCCCAGACTGAGGGATATTTAATTTTGATTTAAATAAAATTTTGATATTAATTTTTATAAAAAATAAAATTATTTTCTTAATAAATTGTGTACAAGATAAATAAGGTTAAAAATACATTTGAAATTAAAAATAAACAATTATTAAAAACATATGATTGAATATTGAAAATGTAAATTTGAAATTTAACCCAAACACACTGCTTTTCGAGATTTGTTTGGTTATAGTTTAGGGTTTGTTCATTTATAAATATTACTTAAAAAAATACTCTGTTAGTCTCAAATACTGTGTAATATATATTATCAATTTATAAAAAAGCTAATAATTTAACAAAAAAATATTTTTTTATATTATAATACAATTTTTTATACTTCATAAAAAAAATATATTCATAAAAAAACACGAAATGAACAAACCCAATTGTCTATATTGCAACTCCTTTTTTCCTTTTTTTTTTTTAATCTCAATTAATTTTTCTAAAATTATTTTGAAGTGAATATATATTATTATTTTTATATATTTTCTAAAATATACACAATTTTTAATACTCTTTCCGTCCAGCTACAAAGTATATATATTTCTATTTTGGAACGTCCAATTACAAAGTAACCATTTCATTAAATACCCTATTTTTTTCCACAAATACTCTTATTTTACATCACATCATTACTTTTATACTAAAAAGTAAGGGCAAAAATATCATTTCACTACTTTTACCTACCCACTATAATTAGAATACTATTATTTTTTAAACTTCGTGCCAAAAGTAAATATATACTCTATCCGTGGACGGAGGGAGTATCTTTTTACTTAATTTAAAACCCTTAAAATATTTTTCAATTTTTTTTTGATTAAATATATTACTAGTATATTAAAATTATATCTCAAAAAGTATTATTCAACACTGAAAGTCTGAAACTAATGTGGTGTTTTCAAGGAGATAAAAGACTACTACATATTGACTACAAGTGGCGGCGAGGTTGTAAAAATAAAATAAATTTAAATTTAAATTGTATTTTATATCTTATTAAAAATTACTCGATCCGTTCCACGTACCTTTGCTATACCGTAGACACGATATTTTAAAAGGAGTATAATTAGTAAATAATTAAGAATGTATTAGTAAAAATAATTATCTTATAATATAAATAATTATAAATTAAGATTAAGATAACTAATTAGTTTAATTAAAATTTAAAAAAAAAATTAAAAAGTTTAAAATGTGATTAAAGTGTATAATTATTTTCCAAAAAAAGAAAGTGACATGATATGTGGAACGGACATAAACGGCAACGTAGACATAGTATGTGAGACGGATGGAGTATTTTTTTTATTAAAAATAGTATAAATTAAATATTTGTGTTTGAACATGAGTATTAACAAATCTCATTAAATATTTAATTATATACTCACTCAGTTCACAAACTAACGTCCTACTTTGAAATTATTGTCTTCTTTCTATTTTTATATACAAAATTTACTTTTTTAGTCTTACTTTATTTATTCTTTTATTTTCTATACATAAGATTAAAAGTAAATTTGTCATTTTATAACAAAAATTCTAATTATCTATAAATACGTATAAATATCAAATATTACATTAGAAAATGAACTTTGTGGGAGTATAAAAGATCATATTAAATTATTTATTTATTTATAAAGTAAAATTCAAAATATCTTTGATAAAAAATCTAATAAAGATATATGAGCTGTATAGAAGTAATTAATTTTCGACTTAGTGGGAAATGATGGTTAATATTTAAATAAACGCAATAAGTAGTCTTTGTCGTCTAAGAAATCATTGAGATAGTTATTATTCAAAGTGGCGATTATTTATTTATTTATTTATTTATTTTTATCATATGTGTATTGGGGTCACATCACTATTATCATTGGAGGGTTGGAGTTTATTTGGCAATATAATTATAGTAAATATTTTAATTATTAATTTGCATGGCAATTAATGTAAATTAATTAATTAGGAAAGCTTAATGACAACTTGAAATTGCACCCTTTAGTGGGTTGGGTTGCTCATTAATTACCGCGTGAGTGTGACAACTAATTTATTTATTTATTTATTATTATTACTCTTTGTGAACGGTGACGTTTGCTTTTTGCACGTAGATTTTTAAATATTAGTATTATTTTGGATTATAGGAAAAAATTTAAAATACCCTTATTAGTATAGTGTAATATAAAAGTAATGATATTTGTGTAATATATTGTAAGTTGAAAGTATATTTATTATGTTAAGTAGGTAGTACAATTACTAAATTAAGAAATGATAACCTTGTTTTGGAACGGACGAAAATGAAAAATGGTAACCTTTCAATGAGACGGAGGGAGTATTATTATTATTATTATTATTATGATTATTATTATTATTATATGTGTTTTTTTGTGAAAAGCTACTTACATATTTTTCAAACAAATTAGCATACTATCCATATTCTATAAAAATGATATTAATTATTATTTTTTTATGATATTATACTTAATATTAAAAATATTTTATATTTGTATAATTTATTTTACAAATGTAATTGTATTTGTAATATAAGATACTAATAGAGATATTTTTGTCATTTTTTTTTTATAAATTTGTACTACATATTTATATAATAATTAATATTAAAAAATATACGTACAAAAAACTCATAGTATTCTTTTTATGAGACAGAAGAAGTATTATAATATTTATATTATTTACACAATTTTTTATATTTTACGTAAAAAAATATTTTTTAAAATTATTGCACAAAATATATATATATTTGCATTCTATTCTATCCATTCCAATTCGATATTTTTATACTTCTTTCGTCCCATATTTTGTATCCAATTTACTGTAAATACGATAATTTAGTTAAAGTATAATTAGTGAATAATTAGAAAATATATTAGTTAAAGTGTATAATCAATTTTTCAAAAACATAAAAGAATGTGTGACGGACGAAAATAAAAAATAGAGACAAATTACATAGGACAGACGTAGTATATATACTCCCTTTGTTCTATTTGAGTAAAAATAATTATATACCAATATCAAAATACTTTTAATTTTTATCTAAATTACAAAATACAATTATTTTTTATATATGTTACAAAACTCAAAAGGCTCGTTTGTACCGGAAGAAGGGAATATATATTATTCAAATAAATAAAATCAGACACAAATCAAACATTCTTACCTATAAAAGGAGGTTAGTGTTTCTCCTCCCGTGTCCTAATAAAACACTCCCCCCCCTCTCTTCTCCCACCAACCCCTCCGATGGGCCCCCCACCAGCCGCCGCCACACTCAGAAGATCCGCCACCGCCGGCGGCAGCGGCTCCGTCATACTCAACAAGTACCTCCTTGGCCGCCTCCTCGGCCGCGGCAGCTTCGCAAAAGTATACCTCGCCCGCCTCCTCCAAGACGCCGGCGCCGACGCCGAAGTCGCCGTCAAAGTCATCGACAAGGCCGCCACCGTCGACGCCGCCATGGAGCCGCGCATCCTCCGGGAAGTCTCCGCCATGCGCCGCCTCCACCACCACCCCAACATCCTCAAACTCCATGAAGTCATGGCCACCAAATCCAAGATCTACCTCGTCATGGAACTCGCCGCCGGCGGCGAACTCTTCGCCAGATTGAACCGCTCCGGTGGCCGGTTCTCCGAGCCCACCGCCCGCCGCTACTTCCGGCAGGTCGTTGCCGGCCTCCGATTCTGCCACCAGAACGGCGTCTACCACCGCGACGTCAAACCCCAAAACCTCCTCCTCGACGAAAACGGCGTCGTTAAAATCACCGACTTCGGACTCTCCGCCTTGTCGGAAAACCAGAACAGCAATTCCTTGATCCACACCGCCTGCGGCACCCCGGCGTACACCGCGCCGGAAGTCGTCTGCGGCGGCGCCGGCGGCGGAGGATACGACGGCGAGAAGGCTGACGCCTGGTCCTGCGGCGTCCTCCTCTACGTCTTCCTCGTCGGAAATCTCCCTTTTGACGATTCCAATTTATCGTCTATGTACCGCGCAATGCACCGCCGGGCGTTTGAATTTCCCGGCGGGATTTCGAAGCCGGCGAAGCTCGCCATTTACAGACTCCTTGATCCGAATCCGGCGACGAGATTATCCCTAGACGAATTGACGAAGCTTTCCTGGTTCAAGAAATCGAATTCCCAAATCAATTTGATTCAAAACCCCAACCCTAATTCCGATCCGAATTGGGGATTTAACAATTACGTCCCCAAAGCGACGGCGTTCGACATAATTTCGATGTCGGCGGGGTTGGATCTGTCGGGGCTTTTCGACGGCGGCGGACGGAAGGAGATAAGGTTTACGACAGCGACGGCGGGGATCGAGGAGGTGGTGGCGAGGGCGGGGGAGGAATTGGGGTATGGGGTGGAGAGGGGGGGGAAGGGGGTTGGGTTGAGGATGGTGAAGGGGGGTAGGGTGGTTTTGGAGGTGGAGGTATGGGAGGTGGCGGTGGAGTTGTGGCTGGTGGAGATGCGGGTGGTGGACGGCGGCGGAGTGGAGTTTGGGGAGTTGCAGTGGGCGGAGATGAGGTCGGGGATCGGCGGGGCGGTTGTGACGTGGTGCACTGGGGAAGAAGAAGAAGGCGGTTTGATCTGACGGCTGGGGGGCGACACGTCAGCGGCTGTGGAGGGTTAGGATTAGATTTTATTCAGATGTGATATAATTTTGTAATAATACAAGCATGTAATATACATGATTTTATTTTTATTTTTATTTTTATTTTTTGTAATTTGAGTTTCTTAGTATACTCCATGTTGTGGCTGTCTTTTTTGATGATATGTTGTAATAGGTTTATAGGGCTAGCAATAATAGCTTCTGACAACGTAGTACTAGCTGATCTATCATACTTGACAGTCCAATTGCAAGTTGTGACTTGTATTCAACCTAAAAAAAAAAAAAAAATTTGTTATTGAACCACATTCTAAAATTTAAATTAAATAAATATAAATATGAATTTTATAAAGCAAAATAAATTCAATCTCATTTCAAATAATTTTGTTACATTGAAATGAACCATTCGAATTGATTTATAGTGGTATATTATATTCATTCACGATTATACAAAATTTTGTCATGTGCATTTACTCAATTCAATCGTATTTCAAATAATTCAATGTGAAGTTGAACCTCGAATGGTAAATTTTGTGTACAAAATAGAATAATTTACGAAGCAATTCCACCTTACTCATTTCAATCGAACGGTGTTATTGAAAGCAAGAATCACACAAAAAAAATAAAAAATTGATAAATGCAATGTTGTTAAGTTATAGACTATCCACGTCAAAAATCAAATTATGATGTTAAAATCGCACACCAAAAGAAATAATCTGAATCTGAACCAAGTCAGGAATCTGAGCTTAAAAGAAGCAAGCGAACAAGATTTGAAAAGTCACTTGAAGATGATTATTTCACATATCTTCTTGAAAACGAGTTTCAAACGTATGTTGAGACTATAAGATCTTTTGAAGCACCTTTTTGGAAAGAAGCCGTAAAAAGTGAAATCAATTATATTATTTAGAATCACACTTGTGGATCTCTCACTTGACTCGAAACATCTCGGATCAAACTGGATTTTCAAGAAAAAATTAAAACCAAATGACACAATAAACAAATACAAAACCAAACTTGTAATTAAAGGTTGCAAGCAACAAGAAGACCTAAAGTACTTCGACTCATATTATTCAGTCACGAGAATAACATCTATCACGGTGATTCTGGCGATAGCCGCTCTGCGGAATCTAAAGATACGTCAAATGGATGTGAAGACGACCTTCTTGAATAGAGACCTTGATGAAGAAATTTACCTGGAACAACTATAAGGTTTTATTATTCCAGGAAATGAAAATAAATCTTTAGATTTGTGAAATCAATGTATGAATTGAAATAAACTCTAAAGAAATGACATAAAAAATTTGATTATACCAAGATAAACAATGGTTTCAAAATCAATGAATACGATAAGTGTGTATATGTAAAGATCGCTGACTCGGGTTATGTAATTATATGTTTTTACGTAGACGATATACTTATTATAGGTAGCAACAACAAACTCGTCAAGTCTACCAAAGACATGTTGAATTCTAAATTCGATATGAAAGACATAGTTTTGCTGACGTGATCTTAGGAATCAAGATCGAAAGAACCGAAGATGGTCTAATACTGATCATAACTAAGGTTATTTCCATATAACATGTTGCATCAAAAGATAATCTAGCGGATTCCCTAACCAAAGGGTTAAATCATGATGTAGTTTACAAGCTGACTAGAGGAATAAGTGTTAAATATGCTGAAATATAAGTTTTATAAAGAAAAATTCAACCTAAAAATATTGAAGATCACAAGAATTAGGTTTAATGGTACAACCTACCTACAAGACTTATGCACGTCACTGTGGGGGCTAATAATTTCGACCTATTCTTGTCAACAAATGGTGACAGGTGGATAGCAAATTATTGCTTTAATAATCACTAAGAGAGTGTTGTATAGCCCGAAAACTTAGAGAGATCACCTATGTGAAAGTAGGGCCACTTTAAATGATAATTGGTCAGACTCAGTTCTTTAGAAACTCTTGCAGTATTACGACGAGTTTCATGACTAAAACAAATCAAACGATGAGAACAAACATGAATTCTGTGTCAGAACGTAGTTCAATTACTAAAAAAATTGAACAGTTCAAGGACAACGCCTCCATTAGACAATTGATGAAGACTACGACTATTTTTAAAAAAAAATTCAAAGAAAAATGTAATTATCATATGCAAAATTCATCATTATTTCATTGAATCATCGTTTTTTCTCTTTCATGTGAGAGATTGTTGAATATTGGTGAAAGAGGAAAAGTGTGAAATAGAAGAAATTGTGTCTCGAGAAACAAAACCTTCACTCTTCTTTATATTGAATTGGACCCCTATCAAGACTAGATGGAAAATTGGATTGATGGCTCGGGCTTGGATTGGATTTGACTTAAATTAATCTATATTTATAATCAACACGTGGCTTTCAGGGTTTTTGGGCCAAGCCCAATTGTGTTAAAATTTAATTATTTTAATTTATATTTATCTGATTAATTTATTCTTACATAAAAAAATTCAAAAGAATTATATGAAAAATAATTGTTGTGAATGCGACGTGCTTGAAGTGGATGCGAATTTGATGGAAAGTGACTTCTTTCTCTTCAAAGTGATTAAAATACAAAAAATCCCTAACATGAAAATCAATATATATATAATTTTCTTCCTCCCTTTTAAAACATACGAAAAACTATTCAAAAATACGATTTGCTAATTTTCTCTTCTAAAGACCTCTTAAAATCTTTCTGGTTCCTTAATTCAGTTCGCGGAATTTGTAACTCCATTCGATTTGTTCTATCATGAGAGGCGATTGAAGGTAGGTCGAAATTGTTTCAAGGAACTCTCGTGCAACGCGAGGTTCGGATTCAATTTAAATATGCACATCAAATTTCTTCTAGATCGGATATGTTTCGATCTTTAGATTTCGCTTATTTTGATTTTTCACTATACAATTTGCTAATATTGTTTATCTCACTTTTATATTAAAATATTATTGTTTATTAATCCTCGTATTTGAATATTGTTGCATATTTAGTCCGGACAGAATAAATATTATATTAGTGAATAAGTTAATATAAGATGAAAATTTTCAAATAATTTTAAATTTAGTGAGTGAAATGTAATAGTATTGTATTTGAGTAAATAGAAATAAAAGTGTTTGACAAATTGGTAATTGTATGAGTATCACATAGATTGTACTCCCTTGTCCCAAAAATTATTTTTACTATTTTTGTCTTTCTTATACAAAAGTATTTATTTTTTTATTTAATAAAAATAATCATAACTAATATCAAAATACCTTTAATTTTTACTTAAATTATAAATATTTTATTACACATATAATTACTTTATATATAAAAACAAATAGCAAAAATAACAAAATCACAGTTCCACTAATCAATAAAATAATATTTTATTATAAAATTCCAAATAGTTACATTCGAGTGAGATAGAGAAAATATATAGAAATAAATTATTTAGATGAAATAATTTTGAATAAAGAATGAGCTAGACTATTTAAGTTAGACAAATAAAATCTTATATTTGTGAATAAATTTGTGTAATTTGTTAGATTTCCATTATTATTTAAAATAATTTTCCTCTAAAAACATCAAATCAAATATCTTTTTTTTTATTTTTTTTTATATTATAGTACTAAAAATTAATTTTATATTCAAAATATCACATCAACACCTATTTATATCACATCATATAACTTTTCAATTCAATTTTTATTTTATTCAAATCTCAACTCAAAATTCAAACTCGCCAAACAAACTCACCCTAAGTTGCAAGAGGGAATCCTCTCCGTGTGCTTGGATAGAAAAAAATAAAATATATATACAAAAAAGGGAGCCCTCCAAGTTATTATTATTTTTTTGCCAATTTTTATTTTAAACAAAATATATGTATATATAGTATAAAAATAGCTAAAATAAATAATACTAAAAATCTTAAAGTTTGTTTAGTAACTGTTATATGAATATGATTTTCTAAAATAATACAAAATATATATAACAATAAAAATTAATAAAAAGAAGTGAAACATATTTTTGTATGATACTTTAACAATTATTTGTATCTCACAATAAAAATATATAAAATTAAAAATATCAAACAAACACACTCTTAATTGTGGGAGTGAGACAATTAATAAAAATTTAATTTAATTCATTTTACTTTACTTTTTAATTAAATTTTCAAAAATACCCTCAACTATCTATTATTTTTTTAATAAAATATTCATTTTTCTTAATTTTCATGCCGAATCTAAATGACTAATTTTAATGAATGTAGAGAGTATTATATATCGGTCATAATTGAATTATAATATTGTTTATCAATGGACTTCTACGAAATAATTTTACAGATATTCACTCAAGTATCTTGATTGTCAAATATCATTGAAAAATAAAAATTCCTGAGTGTAATTTCTTTTAAAAAAAAAATACAATTCTTCAAAAATATATTTTCTCCAAAATATTATATTACACACATATTTATTATTTTTATATTACTTACACAATTCTTATACCTTACATAAAAAAAAAAAATATACCAAATTATTTCACTAAACAAACAAACGTGTACATCAATTACAAAATTTTATTATTAGACAAAACTATTAGTTCGAAGATTAAATTTATCGACGTCATTACATGTTATGATGCTAATAAAGTTAGGCGTCTCTGTTAGAGGTGACCTATAGCAATGCGATGAGTAAACTTGTGACCGTGACGTCATGAATTTAAAAATCTTTGATGCCATTTGGTCTTATAATCTACAAGCTATAAGATATGATCGAAGATTTATCCAAAGTGTATCCGAACAGTAGTAGCTTCAGATATATAAAATAAATTGAAACTTAACTCTAAAAGAACACGCTAATTGAATACGACATGACATCACGTCCCTAAGGAAAAAAAAATCATAATTAATATTTGATTTATGATGTACTACCTCCGTCCTGGCTCTAAGGGTTACATTTACTTTTTGCGTGTTGATATTTGAATATTAATTATTATATCAAAACGTAGTACAAATTAATAAAAAATTTTAAAAATACTTTCATTAGTGTCTTATAATACCAATACAAAGACATTTGTATACAAAATTATAAAAATATAAGAATATTTTCAATATTAAGTACAATGACGATAAAAGGTAAATGTGACCCGAGGGAGTAATATATATAAGATTAAAAAAATTAATAATGTGTTTAATTATTTTAATAATTATTTTTAATAAAATATATACATATAGATATTATTTTATAGAGAATAAAATTTTATATAATACAATAAACAAATAATATAGATATTTATTTATGATTAATATAAATTAATTTATAAATAAATGGAAAGTTTTGAATTTATATAAACATATTTTGTTATTAAGAAGAGATATAAAAATAGAAATTTTCGAAGGAATTTTGAGTGAGTCCCATATGATGTAATATTTTGAAAAAAAAATTGGGAGCATAGCGTCAACTTATACCTCATTTCTTATAGTACTTTTTATTTTTAATAAATGTTAAATATAAATATATTGTATTATTTCTCTATTCTACTTAATTTGTCTATTTTTTCAAATCTGTCCCTCATACATAAATTGTCTTTTTTTTAAAAAAAAAAATATATAATTATACACTTAATTACATTTGAAAATTTATAATTTATATTTTTAAATTTTAATTAAAATATTTAGTAATATTAATTTTAAAATATTTATACATATGTTTTGAATTGTAACAGCTTATACACTTATAGCTCAATCGCTTTGGTTACTATGCTGATTATGTCAAATAAGTACGATGCAAACTTGCTGATTCGATCCAATTCACATATATTTAAATTGAAGACAATACATATCCAACATCACATGTTAATACTAACATATTTTGATAGCATATTATATAATTTTATAAAATACAATATATTAGAATTAAGCACAATAAACAAATTATACATCATAGATAATAAATAACTCACGCAACACATTTATGTAGCAACAAATATTGTTTGTCTCGTGGTGAAATGCTAATTGTTTTAAGTTAGTGTATGACTTAATCAAATCAGCACGAGTCAACATCCTAATCCCCGCCTAATTCAGCACGAATTCCTTCGAAGTTTTATTAAATTAAAAAATTCCCAAAATGACCCGATGACATTAAAATTATCAATTCGGATTTCGACGAGGAATTAACTTTGAAAAATCATGAGAACTTGTGGCTCAATCTCGAACCAAAATGTGTAAGTGAGGATTCAAAAGGAGCATCAATGGAATAAACATAAATTTGTAGAAAAAATGGACACTACAAAAAAAAATAGTATATTTGTAATGGAATTCTGTCCATAAAGATCACGTAGTTAACGCAATTCCATCATTAATTCCATCTCTAATATCATTAGTAACGGAAAAAATGAATTTAAAGACGAAAAAATCTCGTTAGAAAAATGATATTTTCTTGTAGTGGGATGACAATAATTGTATTCAAGGCTAATTATTATTCATACATTTGGCCTTATGAGTTATGAAATCATTCATTCAAAAAATATCTATTTCTATATAGGTGAACCACGTGAATTTGGAGGTATAAATTTGAATCTATGACCTCACGATCACAAGTTCATCCCACACGATCATATCATCTTTTGCTAGACACATCAAATATATTTTTCTTGTTATAAAATTTCACATCAAATATTTATTTTTTTATTTATAATTTTAATATTTTTTTAAAACTCTAAAAACTTGTGTATCATAGAACCTAGTTTTTGGCCTTACAGATTAGTTATCACCAACAGACAAAACAAGACTCATTTTCAAGTAGACATGCAGAACAATATTTTTAATTTCGAATATTGCAAAATATTTTAGTCCATAATTTAACGCCCTCGCGAGGCAACGTGCACCCAAAATAATAATAATAATAATAATATAATAATAATAATATAAATAATATTAAAAAAATAATATAAAAATAAATATTGGACGAGAGTTTTAATAAATATATATATATCCATATAATAATTTTATAATTTTGAATATAAGAATATATATTTATTTTATTTTATACTTCAATTTTCTTATATATATTGTTGGGTAAAAGGATTTTAGTTATTTATTATATTTTTCTATATATATATATATATATTTTTTATAGTAATTATACGTCCTACTTAACATTACAAATACCCTCTAATTTATAATATATTACACAAATGTATTACCTTTATATCATACAATAGGTTAATTTAGTCTTTTTATCTTTATTTCTACTTTATCCCAATATAATACTAATAATTTTAAACTCCGTACAAAAGGCAAATGGATATATAGATATAAGACGGATTGAGTATTATTGAATATTTTCTTTATATATATATATATATATATTTTATAAAGTAATATTCCATTTGTCTAATATTTTTTGTCTATCTTGTTGTTTTTATTCACTAATAAATTATAATTATTTGTATTATAATATAATTATTTTTATTAATATATATTTTTTAATTATTTACTGTTTATACTATTTCGATACTCTTCTGCGGTCTACGGTGTGCATGACTAAGCTCCAGTAGTTAAGTATTACCAATGTATGTCTCTTCTTAATCATGATTATGAATAAGTGTGAGATATTTTACAATTGTATTTTTTCATTATTTAGGGTCCAAATCCATTAAAGTTTTATATTAATTACATATATTCTTTGTATTATCTGAAAATTAAGATTGAAAAATATATTAGTAAAAATATTTAAATAATTATTTGATATGATATAAATAAAAATTTATGTAATATTTTAAATATACATTTTGAATTTTAGTATTATATAAAATATAAGAAAAAATGTTTTCTGATTCCCATTAATAAAACTTGTGGTGCTCTTAATATTTATTGGGAAGTATTTTAGTACTCATTTTGTCCCACATATGTTGTCATTTATATTGTAGATACGAGATTTTAAGAGAGATATAATTAGTAAATGGTAAACTGTTTTTTCAGTCCCGTAACAAGACAATTTTATCATTTTAGTCCCGTAAGTGGAGTTTGTCGCAAACTAGTCCCATAAGTGAAAAATTTTCGCTGTTTTAGTCCTCCGACGCCGGAGACGCCCGCATGGCTCGGCGGAGGTGATGTGTTCGCCAGGTCAGCGACACTTGGCGGACACGTGGATTTATTTATTTATTTTTTCATTTTTTTTATTTTTTTAAATTGGACCAAATAAAAAAATACAAATAAAATTAAAAATAAATTAAAAATAAGTTTTAAAAAATGAAAAAAAAATAAAAAAATCTACGTGGCCGCCAGGTCAGCGACACCTGGCGGACACGTCACCTCCGGCGAGCCACGCGGGCGTCTCTGGCGCCGGAGGACTAAAACAGCGAAAATTTTTCACTTATGGGACTTGTTTGCGACAGACTCCAATTACGGGACTAAAATGATAAGGGAGTCCAGTTACGTGACTAAAAAAACAGTTTACCCATTAATAAATAATTACATTGCAATACAAATAATTATACACTAAAATTTAATATAATTAAATAATCTAATTAAAATTAAGAAAATTAATATTAATAAACTTAAAATATAATTAAAATATATAATTTTTTTCCAAATGAATGAAACATGAGATGTGAAACGGATTCAAAGAGCAATATAGTCAAAAAAATGTAGGAAGAAGAGAATATTATTTAAATTGATTTATACTAAAAATAACATTAAATAGGATAAGAGAAATAATTTTTGTTTAAAAAATTTCATTGTTTGTGTCAAAACTAGACAAAAAAAATAAAAAATAAAAAAAATCCAAGATATATATATATATATATATTTATCTGAGGTATATAAAAAATGCATGTAATATAATTTTTATGAGGAAATATGTGTGTTTTGCAAAAAAAAATACACACACATTGTGTGTGTAAATATGTATGGTTTTGATTTGAGATTGTATTTTTTTATTTGATTTGTTTATATAACATTTTATAAAATTAAATAATATACCATATTTTTATTAGAAATAATGCGAGTTGTCATCGAAAATTATGTCTATTTGATTAGTACATATGTTTTTAAAAGTGAATAATAATAGTAAATTATTTTCTTTTATAGTAAAAAAAAATATATATTCTATTCATCTCAATTCAGAGTACTCTTTTTACTATATTATCGTTGATCCTACTTCAAAGTATTTTTTTCTTTTTTAGTAAAAAATAATTATATACTAATATCAAAATATCATTAACTTTTATTAAATCACAAATATATAATTATTTTTTCCAGGATAAAAATATAAAAATCTATTACTCCATTCGTCCTACATACCATGTCCGTGTTGCCGTTTTTGTCCGTCCCACATCGCATGTCATTTTTTTTTAAAAAATGATTACCACTTTAATTTCCTTTTAAACTTTTTAATTTATTTTTTTTAATTTTAATTAAACTAATTAGTTATCTTAATCTTAATTTACAATTATCTATAGGATAATTATTTTCACTAATACATTCTTAATTATATCCATTCTAAAATACCATATCTATAGTGTAGCTGATACGGTATATGGAATAGAGAGAATATTTTTTAATCTATTAAAGAAACCCCAAATGATCCATTTAGTGCGGGACGAAGGGAGTTTTATATATATATATATATATTAAAAGAAATGAAAATATATTTTAATGACAATTCAGAAAATAATATAAAAATAATTTTTAATGATAATTAAAAAAAATGGATATAAATTTAAGTGAACGGAGTTTATTTATTTATTTATTTTTTTGTGTTTGGGGCCAAAACCAAATGGACCCTATAAAAAAAGCAATAGACTCAACTTTAATGTTTTTCATCCTCTATAAATAGAGATGACACTAATTCATTCAAAAACTCGAGCAAGAATATATATAAAAAAATTAAATTAAAATATAAACATGTTGGAAGTAATGATCATAAGCGCCGCCGCGGTCGCCGTCACGGCGGCGGCTGTGTGGTTATGGCAATTTCTCGACTGGGCGTGGCGAAGGCCGAGGAAAATAGAGGCTATGTTTCGGGCACAGGGCATGAAAGGGAATTCTTACAAGTTCCTCGTCGGAGACTCCAACGACACGGCGCGCATGTACCGGAAAGCCTTCTCGAAACCCATCAGAATCGTCGACGACATCGTGCCACGTGTCATGCCTAACATCCACCAAGCTTTACACCAACACGGTACAAGCTATACATACATATATGTGTATATATATAATGTGGAGGGTTCTAGGTGTTTTTTTTTTTTGTCAATTTGGATTGAATTTGGATGTTTGAAGTTTGAATTTTTGGTTAAAATAATGTAAGATGTTTGAATATAACGAGATAAAATGACATTAAAACATTGAAAAAAAAAAACATTTTGAATTGAAGTCGTTTAATTTTTTAATCAGAACTGTCAAAATCGAAATTGAAATAATGCCATGGTGTTCAAATGAACTCTAAAATATAATGAAATATATTTAAAATATACCTTTTTAGTCCTAATTCAACCATTCTTTTTTATTATTTTTGTTTGTTTCAAAATAATATTTTATTTTAAAAAATAATCATATGATTATATAATTATTACCTATATTTATTTATTTATTTATTATTACACAAAATAAGACTACTTTTACATTTAAATTAAAATATATTTACAATGATAAAAAAAATCTTTATATTTTTTACAAACTATCAATATAATATTAATATTTTTAAAATTTTGTATTTCGTACAAATAAACATATTTTTTTGAGACAGAAAGAGTATGATTTTTTGAGGATTTTATTTTAATGAAATATACTCAATATACTATTATTTTGTATAACATAAAATATTATATACATATACAAAATATATATAATTAATTAATATTACGTTTCTTGAAGAGAATAACTTTTGAATTAAAGACAAGCCAAAAGTAGGATATGGTTTTTATCATAAGATCACAACTCAGTGTGTGGACAGAATTTGTTTGGATAGTAGTTATTTGTATTATTTTCAATTTAATTTTTTTAATGAAATAATATATTTGAGTTAATATTTTAAATGAAAATTCTTAAATTAAATTAAATATAATATGTAATTTTTTTAAAAAAGTATGTTTCTTTTGATAGATTTGAGAAAATTTTGACTTGAGTTTGATATTAGAATAATTTATGATGTGATGTTTTGTAATAAAAAAAAAATATATTTTTTTCGAGAAACACATTAAAACTATTAAATGCTATTTCAATTTCAACGCCTTCCTTTGCTTTTGTTTATATAAAGATTATTTTAAGTGATATAATTTTCATAACTTTTAAAATTATATTCTTTTTTTTTATTTTATTTGAATTGTATTTCAAAATTATATTTAGAAAGATTTAACAAAAATATGTAAATAAAGAAATTACAAATTTGAGACTACAGTTTAAAATAATAACAAAATTATGATCCAAGATAGTATAATTTCCTTTGTTTGAATACTAACGAGGGTCAAGACTAAATATACAAAAAAGGATCACAACAAAATTCCTAATAATGTGAAAATATTTGTCTCATTAGATAGTAGTTTTTGGACTTTTCGAACAAATTCGAACCAGCAAAAATTAAAAATTAAGTATTTGATATGATATTTTTTTAAAATACTATTGTTGATTAATACTGTCAAAACTTTCAAAAGTATGTATAAAACGATGACTTTTATAGGGGATTTCTGCTTCACGTGGGCGGGGCCTCGGCCGCGCGTATTCATAATGGATCCCGACATTGCGAGGGATGTGTTGAGCAAGCGCCAAGTCTATCTAAAGCCCTTCACCGCTAACAACAAGACGTTGCAAATGTTGGTGACGGGGCTCGCTATATTCGAGGGCGAACAATGGAGCAAATCACGGTCACGGGTCAACCCCGTCTTCAAGCTCAACAAACTATGGGTACATAGAGATCCCTAAGTTTCAATTATGCGTGTACATTGTAGCTTTCGATTATATACAAAATCACACGTATACATATACTTATTTTTATAGTCAATAGTCCCGAGGATCCAAATATGTGGCGAGGAAACTATGAAGGTGTTGAGGGCATCAGTGGCGAAGGGAGGAGGTAGTGCCGAAGTCGATATTTGCCCTCATACAGCAATCGTGACGAGCGGAGTTTTGGCAAGATTGATGTTCAATTGTCCCTACACTGATGAGATCAAAGAAACTTTTCGACGGCTAGATGAGCTCGCGGAGCTTGCAAGCTTGCACGCGAAAATATGGTCATTTCCCGGTGAAAAGTGTGTCCTAATTCTTTGACTCTAGTTTCTTTTTTTTTTTCGATATGTCAGATGTATAGATATGAATGAATGTAGATATGATTTGACTCGATTAGGTACTTCCCGACCAAAACAAATCGAAGAGCCAATGCGATTGACAAATATGTCCGAGGGATATTTACGACTATGATCAACAAAAGGTTGAAAGATCGAAAGCCCGAGGATGTCGAGAGTGGGTACAAGGACTTGTTGGATGTGTTCTTGGAGGAGTTATACGAAGGGAAGTTTTCGGAGAAAGAGCGTGGAAGACTTATGGAAGAAGTCATCGCGGAGTTAAGGATATTCTTCTTCGCGGGCTTCGAGACAACGTCAAATCTTCTTACATGGTCCCTTGTCTTGTTGGCGCATCACCATGAATGTCAAGATCGCGCTCGGGAAGAGGTTCTACAAATGTTGGGCGACAAGAAAGAGATAACTTCGGACGATGTTTCCAAGCTCAAATACGTAAGTAGTATCATTTTAGTACTTATAATCAACTCCGTACAATCGAATCAACCCTAGTTATGTTTCTATAGGGTACTAATTAACAGCTACAAATTTTATGTTGATCCAGCCAAGTCAGCATGGTGATGATTTGATTGGGTCAACATATGTCATATGGACGACAAACATATGTTTATACATATCTTAACATATGTTATATTATAAGATAACATATGTTGAGTTATAATATAATATATGTTGTATTATAAATATGCTGAAATATTTATAAATATATGTTGATCACCACTATAGTACATGCTAATCCAATCAAATCAGCACCAACACCATGTTGACTTGACCAGATCAGTAGCTGATCCATGCCCCTAATCAACATTTGATCGAATCACTATTTTTGCGACAGATAACAAATGTTGTCAATGAGGCGTTGCGTTTATATTCTCCGGGGATGGAAATCTCGAGGCTTGTGGGCGAAGATATCTCGATCAAAGGGTTCAAAATACCAAAGGACACATTGCTCACATTCCCAATACTAATGTATCATCGAAACACGAAATATTGGGGCGAAGATGCCGGCGAGTTCAAGCCAGATAGATTCTCCGATGGAATGATGAAAGCGACCGGCGGAGAGAATGTGTTCTTTCCTTTCGGTTGGGGGCCTCGCATTTGCATCGGGATGAACTTGTCGTTGATAGAATCGAAAGTGATGTTGGCTATGCTTCTTCGCGAATTCTCGTTCGACCCGTCGCCTTCGTACGTTCATGCCCCGTGTGTCGCCTTCACTGTTCACCCGCAGTTTGGAGCTCCTCTTTTGCTCAAGAAGCTATAGACTTCTACGCACATATTCGTCTGTTGTATCTGACATTTATGCGTGTAATAAGTTCCGCCTATTTGTATTTGCACTTTAAAATAAGCTTAAGTACTAAGTTGTAATTGAAATTTTAATAAAACTTCGATGCAATATAAGTATTAGAAATCTCATGGTTGTGTTCAGTGGCAGAATCAACACTTCAATTTTTTTGGGGAATGCAAATTTATTACCATTGATCCGACACCATCTTCTTTGATTTTGTATGGCACTATAGTAGGAAGAAAAAAATAAAAAGATAATAGAATAATAAATTTATAATCAAGGGACAATTTAAAATAACTATATATATATATATATATTCCTCGTGCTCCACTCAAATTCAAAGTATATATTTGTTTTTTCTTTTTATTGTATATTAAAAAATAATAGAATTTTATTGGTTAGTAAAAGTATGTAAATTGATATTGATATTTTTACTCTTACAAGTATAAAGGAAATAAATAATTTTATAAAAATTAAAAGTATTTTAATTTTAATATATAGATTAGTTTAACTATAAAAAGAATAAATACTTTTGAGTGAAGGAGTATAATAAAAAATATGATGTGAGAGGTATAAAAGTATTTATTTAAATAAGTATTGAAATAAAATTATTTAATAAAATATAATGAAAATTATCATGTGATAGATTTAGGTACAATAAAAAGATTTGTTTACTGGTCATGCTTTTTATTATTTAAATAGTGAATTGAGTATAAACAATATATATCTTCTTATACAATAGTAAAAATTGCATAAAAATAAGCTGAAAAAAGTCACTAAAAGTATATATAAGAATATTTTAAAAATACTCGGATATACTCCATCCGTCCTACAAAATTTATCCCTATTTTCTATTTTTATCCGTTCTACATAACTTGTTTTTTCTATTTTTGAAAATATAATTATGCACTTTAATTGCATTTTAAATTTTAAATTTTATAATTTTCTTAATTTTAATTAAACTATTTATTTATCTTAATCTTAATCTATAATTATTTTTACTAAATAATAATTATTTTTATTAAATACACTTCTTAATTACTTACTAATTATACTTTACCTAAATTTTCGTGTCTACAGTAATACACCCATATTACATTGGACGGAGAGAGTATTATTTTGACCATCAAAATTGTGTCAGTCTGTTTGTCCGTTAAATTCATGTATAATCTTTTTCTTTTTAATAGTAAAACACATCAATTTTTTCACATAATTTCTTTTATGGGGACGATTTCCTATGGATATTATAAAATTTATAATATATATGCATATTAATATAATAATATATAATACTCCATTCGTCCCACATAATTTGTTCCTACTTTCTATTTTCGTTCGTCCTACATAATTTGTCCTTTTCTTTTTTGAAAAATTAACTATATACTTTAATCATATTTTAAAATTTAAAATTTAATTTTTTTTTAATTTTAATTAAACTATTTAGTTATCTTAATATTAATTTATAATTATTTTTACTAAATAATAATAATTTTTACTAATACATTTCTTAATTACTTACTAATTATATTTTACCTAAATTCTCGTGTCTATAGTAATACATCCATATTACATGGGACGGATGAAGTATATATTTTATATACTCACAAAAAGTTAATAATTTAATACAAAATATTATCTTTTTATATTACCAATATGATTCATCATATCTAACATAAAAAATACATTCATAAAAAATAAAATAAAATGAACAAACCCCGTCATATATATATTATCCACTCAATTTAATTACCCCAATTTTAACAAATACTCTTCATTTAGACTCTTTATGCCATATTTGTCCAGACACGGACACTAAAATACTCCCTTCATCCCAAACAAGGTACAACATTTGCTTTTGGCACGAGTTTTTAGGTGAGTAGTATTAAGTAGGATAATTTATAAATTAGGTAATGTGATGGAGAGAGAAATATATATTTTATTATTTTATTTGGATGATATGAGGGGATAAAGTGTGGGGTAGAGATTATGTATAATTAATTATTTCCTATTTTGAAAATATTGCATAGTGTTTGAGACATACCAAAAAAGAAATGTTGCAGGGTGTTTGGGACGGAGGGAGTAATATTCTCTTTGTTACTTACAAAATATATATTTTTATTTTTATTTTATTAATTACAAAGTAATTATTTTTTTTAGTGGTTATAAAATATAATTTTTTTTTACAAATATTTTTATTTTACAATCACATCCGTTATTTTTATACTAAACAAAAAATTGTATTTTCACTATTTAAATACCTATTATAATTAAGATATTATTATTTTTTAAATTTTATATCAAAAATAAATATATATTTTTAAAATAGATAGAGCCACGAAGGAGTATTATTTTAATGTAAAAATAAGATTTGTAAAAAGTAAAATAGGACTAACATGAAAATTTTATTAAATAGTTAATAAAAAAATAATTGGATATGTGAAAAAAATTAGTGACAAATTAGTTATTATTTATTAAAGTATACGTGAATAAAATTATTCAAAATAAATGAACTATTTATAAATTTATTAAAGTATACGTTAATAAAATTATCAAAAAATGAGAATGTGACATAATTATCTTGGATGAGAGAGTAATAACCAAGTTGCTACTACTATTCCTACTTACTAAACTGCTTTTTATTAATTTTTTAATAATTTTTTATAATACCCGAACTTTATTTTTTAACTAATTTTTTATTAAAATATTATTATTATTTTAATTTTGTATCCAATCAAACAAGTATAAATATAGCGGACGAAAAAAAAAAAATTATATATAATAATATTTGAAATAATACAAATATATATATATATACACGTAATTCATATAAAATATACTTAAAAAGAGAATAATTATACTCCCTCCGTTTCATATAAATTGTCTCTATTTTTTATTTTTGTCTGTCTTATATAACTTGTCCTTTTTTAAATTTTATAATTTTCTTAATTTTAATTAAACTATTTACGTATCTTAATCTTAATCTATAATAATTTTTACTAAATAATAATTATTTTTACTAATACACTTCTTAATTACTTACTAATTATACTTTACCTAAATTCTCGTGTCTACGGTAATACACTCATATTACATGGGACGGAGGGAGTATATATCTAAGTAAGAAAGAAAAAAAAAATCATAAATATGAAGAAAAAATTGAGAATATAGTGGAAAATTGTTATTGCCATATTGTTTTAATAATCATCACCATAGACAAATGAGCACTCACTTTTGAAAAAGACATGCACAAAACCGCATTATAATTTTGAAAATTACAAAATATTTTATTTTATAATTTAATGCCCTCGCGAGGCATGCGTTCCCTAAATAATAATATTATATATAAATAGTTTTCGGATAACGTAAAAATTAGTATTTACTATTTTTTAAATTCGCTCTAAATAAATTTTTATTGAATTTTACAAATTAGGTTTCATAAGATAAATTTCAATTAAATGTGACAGACAAAATTTAAGATGTCAGAAATTTAATTTTTATAAAATATCTTTTTAAAGTACTATTTGAATACACAACACAAAATTAATGAAGTAAACACAATCTTAAAATTTCATTGTATATAATTATTTTAAAAAAAAATTGATTATCATATTATCATTTTTTTTTATATTTTTAAAATAAAATAATTGTTTAATGTTAAATTTTACAAAGAGATAAAATTTTAATATTTTTTAAAATAATTATTTCAAATTTTGAGCCACAAGCTCAAGCTGAAAATAGTTTTTAGGTCCGATTGAATTGACTTAAAAAATAAGTGCTAAAAATCTCAATTTTATATTTGGAAAATCATTATAAAAACAGTTTTTTTTTTTTTAATTAAAAATGCTTTTAAACATTAAAATTAGTTAAAATGACATAATGTTAATATAATTGTATTTTTGTATAAAACTTTTATAATTTATTTTTAAATTTTATAACTTATATTTAAAGATTTTAAGTTAAAGTATGATATAATAATATTTCCTCCTTCCCAAAACTATAGTCTTAATTGGGTTGTACACGAAATTTAAGAAATATTGATATTATATTGATAGTTGGTAAGAAGTATGAATAAAAGACTTTTCTGCCCTTTTAAGTGTATTAGTGTAAAAGGTAGTGACATTTGTTTAATAATAATGAAAAAATAAGATAATTTTACAGTGATATGAGTATTTATGAAAATGAGACTATTATTTTGATACGGACAAAAAAGATAAACTAGACTATTGTATTTAGACGGAAAACGTATATAATAACACAAATATAGTATTTGCTTTCTGACGGAATCCTAATTCCATCAAATTAATATACTATATTATCTGTTTTGTAACGAATTTATAATTATTTTGTGCTAATTTAATCAAATCAGCATATAGGGGTGTCAATTCGTATTTTTGGGTCGTATTCGTGTCGGGTTGAGCCATGGTGATAATAAAAAAACTGTCAACCTGAACCCGAAATCTGACCTAAAACCCTAGACCCAAACACGACACGAATTTTTTCAGGTCGGGTTCAGATTGACCTGAATTAGTTTCAGATCACCCGAAACCCGAACAAACCGGATGCAAACCCGACACGAAACAAACCCGAAAATTTTAAGAAAAATTAAATTGACCTAAAAAATATCATTTTTATTTTTATTTTTATATTATTTATAAAATAATATAAATATTATAAATTAAAATAATAATAATAAAAATTTCAGGTTAACCCGAAACACGAAACCCAAAATCTAACCTGATTTTTATATTTCAGGTTATCAGGTCAACCCAAAACACGACACGAATTTTTTTCATTTCGGATTCGGATCGACTTGATTTTTTTCAAATCCGAAATATCCAAATCCAAACCTGAAAAATTTCAGGTCGAACGAGTTCAATTTTTCGGGTCGGATTTACTTTTGACACCCCTATCAACATAGCACTTAAACCGCGGCCTACATTAGGTGATGGGAAATTGTTTTTAAGGTTCTATTGTGGAACGATATTGTGTACTTTTTCATTTGTGTAATTGAGACATTTATTCTTACTTGCTTTGAGCCCATACAACTTTAATTTTCTCAAAAAATATTATTATACAATGTTCAAAATATTCAATTTTAAATTTAGTAAGTCTATATCTGATCTTATTTACTTAGATTTCAGTCTATCGAGTCTGTTTTGTATTAGCTATATATAGACTCTTTATTTTGATGATAAAAAAGACAATTTCATTATTTTCTCCCAAAATTTCTAACTTACAATATTAAAATTTTTCGGGTGAAATTTTGGCATATTTAGTTATTGATTTTTTTTTTTTAATAATAATAAAGACGTGAAATTTTATAAAAATAAAGATATTATTTTTACAATGACCATAGTACGGATGTAATGTAGGGCAAGGGGCTGCAGCCCCCTCACTCCACCCCACCTCCTTATTTATTATTATATATATTTTTTAAATATGTGTATATTTAAAATTGATAAAAAAAAAAATTAAAAATTAAAAATTATATAATTTAAATTAAAATTATTAATATTATTATTTAGTATGTATAATTTTAAATAAAAAATATTATATTAAAATATTATTTAAATAAAAAATTAAATATAATATTTAAATTAAAATTAAAATCAAATAAATTTTTAATTGTGAAAATAAAATAATTTTAATGTTTTTTTATTCAAAGTAAAAATTTCTCTTAACAAATAAATATTTTACTTGTCAATTTCAAATAATAATGAAAAAAAAATATCTACAGTATATAAACACGTTATTATTTATCAATATTTTTAAAAACATTCAACAAATGTATATGATATTGCAATTTACTAAGCAATGATTAGTTCTAACCAATATAATAATTAGCATAATCTTTTTATATATATTTTTATATGTATAAATTAAATAAACTTTATTATTTTGAATATTAGCTCCCTCTTCAGCTAAATTCTGGTTCGTTCTTAAATTTGTTTGTTTAATATTTTAATTTAAAAAATATATTTATGTAAAATGTTAAGTTAATAATATAAAAAATAATATTTTATATTGAAAACTAATTTTTTATGAAAAAAATAAAATATATATTGTACATATATAAAATTGTGTCATTAAATTTTTTTGTGGGACAAACAAACTTGTATTTAAACAATGCCATTCTTTTCAACCCCACCTATTGTTATATTTTAAAAGTATCATACCAAATATATATTTTTATATCTAAAATATTACATTGAATTTGTCTTTTTAAAAAATATATATAATATATATCTTTTATGTTTCAATGTAGTTCGAGCAATATCAAACTATTTATATCATTTTAAAAATTTTATTTTTACTACTTTAAAGAATTCAAAATACCAAACACACCCAACGATATAGCAAAAATAAAATACAAACTTCTGGCAGGTGAACTTATGATTACAAGATCACGAGTTTAAAAATCGATGTTTTCTTGATTTATCTTGTCACATACTAGAATTTATTTAGTTTGCTTTATTCTACCGACATAATTTGTAGATTAATTTTTTTTTCAATATATATTCTAAGAGCAACGATGACAAATTTCGACATAAAAATACTTGAAGCTCGAGGGACACGAGTGAAAGAAAAAATAATTCTCAATACTCCAAACCAAGCCCACATATAGACGTAACATATATAGGACAAATCCACAATAATTGAATAAATTTAAATATCTACATATGTAAGTATATAAATAGAACATATGAAGAGTAGGGACATACACACAAATTCGACTTAAAAAATATCGAAAACAATTATGTGGCAATTTGTAGCAATCTCGATTCTTACAGTGTTCTTGGTATGGCTATGGAAGGTGTTCGACATTTTCTGGCTCGAGCCTCGAAGGATCGAAAAAATATTGCGAAAACAAGGCTTCAACGGGAACCCCTACCGGCCCCCCTTTGGCGACACCACCGAGATTCAAGAGATGTACGCCGATGTACTTTCCCGGCCTCTCGGGCTTCATGAAGATATTATTCCTCGCGTCATGCCTCACGTGCAAAAAACCATAAACCAATACGGTATGGTATAGTTCGCATCAATATACAAAATACTTGAAGATTATATAATACTGACTCTGTCTATTTAATAAGTTTACATTTACCTTTTACATCATTGTATTTAACATCTAGGGTGTGTTTGTTTGGGGGTTTGGATTTTTAGTTGGAATTTGAATAGTAAAAAATTTGAATTGAAATAGTTGTATAATGTGATATAAATAGGTATCGATGTGATGTTTTGAATGTAAAAATTGATTTTTAGTATAGTATAAAAAACGAAAAATAAGTGTTTGATTTGATGTTTTTGGAGGGAAAAAATTGGGTGAATAGTTTAAATCTTTACAAATCTTCCAAACAAACACATTTTATAATATCATTATATTTGTCTAATTTTTTATACAAGTGTCATTATATTTGTATCACAAGACACTAATAAAAATATTTTTATATATATATTTTTTTTATCTTGATTTGTATTATCTTTTGATATAATAATTAATATTTAGAGATTAACATACAAAAAAAGTAAATATAAAGTTTCAAAGTGGATGGAGGTAGTGTATAATTAATAATGCATTTTTCTACGAGATTTGGTTTTTTTTCGACACAAATTTGACAAGCCATATTTTATTATCGTATCTTTCATAAGAAAAAAAATGAAAAAAAAGTCTTGAATGAAATGTTCATTTAACATAATACCAGAGCGGGAGATCCCGTATCCTTTGTAAAAAATTGTCCGCATGCAAGGTTCGCATGGCGTAAATCCACATTGCACGTAAGATGGTCATTTAGCGTAGAAGAACTATGATAGAAAAGTTTTTTATGAAAAAAGAAAAAGTATCGAATATGTTTATCGATCATGGTTGAAGCATGGATGCCTTTTATGTGATAGGTAAGAACTCGTTCACGTGGATGGGGCCGAGGCCACGGATATATGTGACCGATCCCCAATCGATGAGGGAGATTATGTTGAGGCACGTCGTCTTCAACAAGAACTTCAAGGTTTCGAACAAAATGATCAAGCTTCTTGTCCGTGGCGGGCTAATTGAGTTCGAGGAGGAAAAATGGGCGATGCATAGAGCGAAGATGAATCCGGGCTTTCACATGGATAAGCTTAAGGTCGTTCCATTGTTTGTTTGTAAATTATCGTATAAATTACATACATATTAACCGTGTGCTGACATAAATACATTAAATATTGTATGTAAATCGTATTGCATAATTCATCGGCATTTTAGTAAAAATGATTCGATAAATTTACATACGGTTCTCGTATTTATGTATTGAACTTGCTTCATTATTGGACTAAGGTACTTATTTTTCCGTAGAATATGTGCCCAATTTTTGTGGCGCATGCCGAGACCGCTTTTGATAAATGGCGATCGAAACTAAGCAATGGGTCGGGTGTGGTGGACGTGTTCAAGGACATGAAGATCTTCACAGCTTCATCGATCTCCAAAGCATTGTATAGCCGTCCCTTCGACAAAGATATGCAAACGTGTTTCTTCTCGCTTCTTGAGCTATCGCATATGGCGAACAAGAACATCTCCGTCAAATCCCTCGATCTCCCCGGGAAAGAGTGAGATTTTTCTTTAAGCTACAAGTTTTTGCCATGATCGAAATTCATAAATATACTTTAAAGTAGTACTCCCTCCATCCCACATAAATTATCCATATTTTCTATTTTCGTCCGTCTCACATAATTTGTCCTTTCATTTTTTTGAAAATATAATTATACATTTTATTCACATTTTAAATTTCATAATTTATAATTTTCTTACTACTAATTATACTTATCCTAAATTTTCGTATCTACAGTAACCCGGAGAATTTATCCGGAACAGGGACGGAGGGAGTAGTTTTTATGCGAGAGAAACCGAATGAAAACAATAATTGATTCAAATTTTTTTCGATTCCTTCGTAGAACATTAGCCCTTCTCGACTAATATTGTGTCTAACGCTTGAAACATTAGATTGTTGCCTACGCCGATGGTGAAAAAGGGGGAGAAGATGGAAACAGAACTATTTAGTATATTTAGAACGATGATCGTTGAGAGGCTAAAAAAGAGACGGGCCGGATTAAAGGATAAGCAAGATTTAATCGACATATTCATAGATGATCTATACGACGAGAAGAGAGCAAAAGAACTCGATGAAGAAGGAATCATCAACGACGCTGCTGGTAATTGCAAGGTCTTCTCATTTGCCGGATTCGAGACCTCCGCCAATTTGCTTGTCTGGTCTATGATTAGCCTCGCCATCTACCCCGAATGGCAAACTCGCGCCCGAGAAGAGGTCCAAACCGTCCTCTCCGGCCGGAGCAAGCTCGAGTCGGATGATTTGAGCAAGCTCAAACTTGTAAGAAGAATTAGACTCTGTTTATATAGATATTTTTAGAATTTTTTACACTATTCATCTACAGTATATTTTTTTAAAAAATATCGTATCAAATATATATTATTTCTCACCAAATATCATATCAAATGCTTAACTTTTTATCTTAAATTTTCTAAAACCTCAAAACTCCAAAAAAAATTTACGTGTGTACTTGTTGGCGGGGTTTTGGCTTTGCATTTGAGTTTTTAATAGTAAAATTCTGAAATGAAATAGTTGTTTGTTGTGATATAAATATGTATTGATATAGTATTTTGAATGTAAAATTAAAGTTTATTGAGCCTTAATATATGTGTTCGCGAGTTTATTCTTAAAACTTTGTAATAGTCCGTATTGAGCTAAAGTACATCGCCTTTTGGCATTCTACGCATGCAGGTCGGCATGATATTAAACGAGGTGTTGAGGTTCTACCCGCCGGTGTTTGAGCTGTCGAGAGTGGTGGGGGAAGATGCGCAAATCGGGAAGTACGTATTTCCCAAGGGGGTTTTATTACAGCTTCCGCTGATTTTTCTTCATCGGGACAAAAATATTTGGGGACCCGATGCAGATATCTTCAACCCGATGAGGTTCTCGGAAGGTGTCATGAAAGCGGCAAATGGACAAGCCGCGTTCATGCCCTTTGGTTGGGGTCCGAGAATTTGTTTGGGAATGAACTTCTTGTTGATCGAAGCTAAGGTGTTCTTGGCTCAAGCTCTCAATGCGTTTACTTGGGATCTTTCGCCGGAGTACATTCACGCGCCGTTAGCCGCTTTCTCTCTTATGCCGCAACATGGCGCGCCTCTTATGCTCCGTGAAATTTAATTCACTTGGTGCCATCTCGTGGTCTTATGATATCTCCTTTTGGTCGTTGATTGGTTCTGAAACTATGTTGGAATAAAAAAATCTGATTGGTTGTTTTTATTGTTTTTAAAAATACACGAGATGCATATGCTTACTATACTTTGTTCTCTCAATGAAATTGTATGACATTTGTCAAAATAATCAATATTTCAGCATAGTGCTAATAATACATTAAATAATTACAAGCAAATGCAACAAATGAACTACCAGACGGTCATGATAGAGTCTCACATATTATAATCTACCAATTATTTCAGCACAATAAATATATTTATATACTGTATATATTTTATTCAACATATATGTATTGCATTAAATAAAGATGTTTTGTCTTCTTATTTTATATGCTCTGGCTGTAATAAATCATGGTTTACTTGTACAGTAATCATCCTCATATATATATATATATATATATAAACTGTGAGTATGTGACATCTATTTTTTAAATGCCTATTAAATCACACTATAAAAAAATCACACTATAAAAAAATTATAGTGAACTTTTGAAGTGAGTATTAAATCACACTATAAAAAAATTATGGTGTCACATTATAAAAAAATTATTTTTCTACATATTTGTATATACATGTATATATCTACGTATACTCAAATGTACACATGAATGTATACGTACGCATAGATACATTTCTTATACATATATATATATATTTTTTCAATTATTTTTAATTGAGATATTTTAGAATCTATGCAACTTTCCTTCTCTTATGTTTATTTTATTATTATTATTTTATTCACTTTTACCATTTTAATTATAATTTACAAACTAAACCATAGGACTGAATATTAAATAAAAATATCCTACAAATTCAAGAAAATTACAGTTTGGTCCTTAAAAGGATAAGACACGAAACGGTTCTTCATCACTCAATTCATACAGGCCGCGAAAGCACGTAACGAAAGTAACAGCCCAATTGCACGAGACACGTGGCGAAATATAATTGGACGGTCACACACACAAAAAACACACCTCAGTAGCTCAATCATCGTCGCCCCGTTCGGATAAATAACGAAAATCAACCCCACGTTGAACGAACCAATAATGGCGGGCTCATCATCCACAATCGCAGTTCTCCAAACAAATTCAATCCCCAAAAGCTTCTCCCACGACAAATCTTCTGAACTGCACCAAACCAAGAGAAGGAGCTTCACCGCGAGAATCCGGCACTCGACTTCCCCGAGAATCGGAGTACATTTCGGCCGACGTAATCCGACGAAGCTGTCGGCGGGGCTGACGGAGATAGAACCTGACCTTAACGAAGATCCGAGGGACGTTTGGGCGACCAATGGAATCGATGCGGTATTTTCCTTTCTCAATTTCAGCTGAATTTTTACTCTCTCGGCGATTTCAAAATTCTAGGGTTTTTTTTTTTAGGAGGATTTTGTGTACGGGATTTACGACGGGCATCATACCTTCTTCGAAAGCGACGATAAAGGTATGGAAAAGTCAATTTTAATATTGAAGTATGTATACATTGAGTTTTGTGTTCTGTGTTCTGCTAGAAGCTTTAGGATTATCTGTGCTAGTTTCTCATCGATAGGATCTTTCTTACCCTCAGAAAATTTTCTAAGTGTATGGATGTTAGGATATTTGAGCAATCCGAATAAACAACATTGTTATACAAAGTAAGAACTGATTCGAGGAGGTTTTGCAGCTACATGATCGATAAGTTAACTGGATAGCATAAATTGTGTAGCATGAGGTTCTGTTCACGCGTGAGGTTCTGTTCATGCAGCATTTTGAGATGAATTTTTAGATGAATTAATTTTTTATATATGGTACTAGAAATTGTTGCAAAAATATAAAAATATATTATTTTAAGTTGAATATTTAATTTTTTTAATAAGTATTTGAAGGTTTTTTTACTTTTTGATTTTTATGAAAAACAGTTTATTTTACTTATAATTATTTTTTTTGAGAATTGCAATCGAAAAATAGTGTTGTGATCACAGAGCGTCTTAGTTTTTTTTTGGGGTAATTGGTGTTAGAAAATTAGCCACGAAAAGATTAATTCAATGTGGTAAATAGCGGAGTCGAAGATAGATCCTATTTCCACAACATTAATTACTCTTTAACTAACTTATGGTCTGTTTGGTTGGCTTCCCGAACCCGTTTAGCACTATGTTCTCAATTTTCTTTTAAAAATATTACATCATATGAGATCCATTTAAAATTCATTCCAAATTTTATATTTCTTTTTCAACTCAATAAACAAATATATTTATATTCATTCAATTTTTATTTTTTTCTTATCTTTTTCTTCAGTAAACAAATATATTTATATTCATTCAAAACTCTCTATTTATTGTAATTATATAAAATTTTATTCCTTACTGTTAAGTATCCTACATTGGATGTAATGTTGGGATTCTCTTACCTTACAAGGGGTGAAGGGCTACTCCACTTACAGCCAATTGGTTTTAAGTTGGAACCCCGGATCCCTATATCATTGTATTTTATATATTTTATTAAATACACATCTTTTCAATTTTCTTTAATTATATATATATTACATCATGAATTAAATATTAATTAAATAAATCACTCCCAACCCAACTTACAACTCAATAAGTAAGTAAGGGTGCGTTTGGTTACCAAACCATTGTTTAGGCAACTAAAAGTAAGGGATAGTCTGGTGTAGAGGTGGACTCGTGACTTTAAAATCATAGGTTTCGTCTAGGATGATTTGTCCATATACGTTAATAGCCTAGTTTAATATCTCTTATATTGTGCTGAAATCAGAAAAAAAAAAAAAAAAAAAAAAAAAAAAAAAAATCAGTTCGATTCGAGTATTTTCTACATAAGATATGTCGGGGGTTATGCTCTCTATAGTAATGAAACTTGCTGTCCATAGTTTCTTCATGTTTTTATTCATTGATCTTGACACAAAAATTCCGATTGCATTTGATCAGAGATAATCAACATCAATTTCATTTGCAGCGTCGTTTTGGGAATTGGTTTCTAAAGACTACTGGGCAGTCGGACCTCCCACAGGATTTCAGGGTAAAAAGTTATTGTAATTTTCCATAGACAAGTGACACTTATTTTTCTCTTCGTCCGCCTCTAAGGGTCACATTTACCTTTTGCATCGTTTTACTTAACATTAAAAATATCTTGTATAATTTTTTGTATAAATGTCATTCTATTAGTATTATAAGACACTAATTAAAGTATTTTTTGCAATTTTTTCTTAATTTGTACTATATTTTGATATAATAATTAATATTAAAAAATCAACACGCAAAAAGTAAATGAAACCCTTAGAGCCGGACGGAGGTAGTATTTTATCTTAGTAAAATTAATCGTTGTGCTTAGGTGTCATGTCATGGCTATTCCCCCCTGCAATTGCGGCCGGGATGTATTTCAATGCGCCGGTAATGTAGTGAAGATTATTACAATCCTTAAACCTTGTACCTATCTTCGACCATTGTATGTTAAGAATTATCGCTTTTTTTTTTTTTTTTTCGTGATTGTCTGTGCAGGGAGAGTATTTGTACATCGGCGCAGCTGTGTTTACGGTGATTTTCTGTGCGATTGAGATGAACAAGCCGAGCGAGCCGCACAACTTTGAGCCGGAAATATACAACATGGAGCGAGGGGCTCGCGACAAGTTGATCGCGGATTATAACACGATGGATAAATGGGAATTCAACGAGAAGTATGGAGACGTGTGGGATTTCACCGTTCAGAAGGATGACATTGCAAAGAGATAAAAGTATCTATACATGTATATGTATATGTATGTATAGGTTTGTGTATGCTAAATTTTTATATAGAAATGTTTCTTGATAAATCCAAAAGCCAAAATGGTAAGTTGAATCGTTATCTTCTTGCAGGCAGCAGTTACTGTGTTGACGGACAATATATAATATTATAGTCTCAGTACAATACATGCAACAATTAATATTAGTAATATAACATATTTTTATACACCACAACGCTCTAATTATGAACAGACAATGTGAGTTGATTTTCTCGAACTAGCACCACCAAACCATAAATACTAAATTTTATAATTCAATATAATGCTTTACTAAAATAAATAGCTCACGATATAGGTTAATCTCAACAAATTGTACACATCACAAGATATTATTTTATTTAAAACATGTAAATATTATGTTAGTTAAAAGTTTATATTGTCAGTCTATTTATTATATTTCGACTAATTTATCACAATCAACACTTGAACACAAGCATCACAACATACTCTCTTTTTTAGTTGAATTTATTTTAATCAAAAATATTTATCTTTTTAATTGTTATAGTAAAAAAAATGTATTATAATATTAAAATATTTTTAATTTTTATCTAAATTATAGATATACCATTATATAAATACATAAAATATAGAAGGTAAAAATATAAAAATTATCTATACACTCAAATAACTAATAAAATGCTATTATTTTACAATTTACTACAAAAATTTAAAAAAGCACATCGGTCTTGGGATGAAAGGAGTAAAAAATACTCCTTCATTTAATTTTTTCTTTTTTTTTTTTTTAGAAATATAATTTATAATTACTTTTATTAAATTATAATTATTTTTATTAATATATTTCTAAATTATTTATTAATTATCTAATACCCTGTATCTAAGTAATTTAAATGGAACGGAGGGACTATCTCCAATTGTTAGCATATGTCAACTAATTAGATCTATATTATGTAAATTGAAATTATATAGTATTTTATTTATTTTTATGTGAAGATTTGGGTTTTGTTCTTCCAAATTAGATACGTTTATTATTTTTATATTATCTATATATTTATCCCCTAAAAAAAAAATTAGCCTAAAATGGTATTGTCTCGTTAACAATTATTTAATTTTATTTTTGAATTATTATATTTACAACTATCATTAAAAATAAAATATAAAAATCACCATTGAGCAAGTCCAACTGCATTTTGCCATCAACAAACTACACAGGGAAGGAGAGGAGAGGAGAGGGAGAGCAGCCCAAACCCCATGTGAATGTGATGTGCAGTTCAGGCGGCAACCAATGAACCCATCACCAGACCTGCTCTGCTCCTACTAGATTCCTTTCGATTCCAATTAATCCCATCTCATCTATCAAAACATCCAAATCGTGTTGTACAACGACGATGACAACAATGTCGCTTATCGATTATGTTCGAGAGACCAATCTTGTGTTTTCAGGGGTCCCTCCACTTTCCTATGGCTTCTGAGGCATGCGTTTGTCTGGGTGGGTGCGTTTGCTCATTTCATTTCGATACACACAAATTGCCCCACTTTCATTTTCTTCCATTTCTATGTTTGATGTGATATATACGAAAGGAAATCCACCTCCAACGAACAAAGGAACAGTGAGGAGATGCTGCAATTGCACGCCTTGAGGCCGTGGATTTCATCCCCAGGTTCAGAATCGAGTTGGATTTATTATAAGAGGTGAATTCTGTATCTGAAATTCGACAATTGAGCAACTTTCGAACTTTGCGTTGATCAACAATGGCCTTTTTGTCGATAAATTGCCAGTGTGAAGAGAATGCATATATTATGTTTGTGAAAATGTCTTAACCAATTTCGGGTCTGTTTTTAATTGTTTTAGCCTGTATATGTGTATTCCCACACTATATTTCTGTTTTACTACTGAGAATTCCGAGTGTGGAATTGTATTGGCGATAATTATCACTTGTTTGAAGATTTGAAAATTAATGAAGATTCGGGAATTGAATTTCAGATGGTATGTTGGCTCAATAGAGTATCATAACTTTGTTAAATGAAATTGTTTGTGTTGTCAGGCGTGTTGGGCTCGGTTTAGATAAAAGTTTTGAAAAAAAATTGGTAATAGTAAAAAGTTCTGTATTTGATACAATGTTTTGTTGAGTAAAGAAAATATTTTTGAGATTTTTTTTTTTTTTTTAAAAAAAAGTCATTGTTGATGAATAGTGTCAAAAGTTCCAAAGTGTTATTATAAAAGTTTAAATGGGAAATAGTTTTTTGATGTAATATTATTTAGAGGGAAATTTATGTTACTGTAGAGTTAATAGTGAAAATGATTTCGAAAACATTAAGAACCACAATTTTTTTTTTCCCATGGCAATCGTAACTTTTTTTTTTTTATGACAATGGTGATCATAACTTTAGGTGTCTTGCTTTTGTCTTCTTTGCAGTCAGGTGATGTCCCGACACCTGATGAGTTCATTTACAATTTTATTTTTGCTCTAAACTTACAAGAAAAAGATCAATGGTTTATAATCCTTAGTAACAATACTTTTAGGTGCACTCACCTCATTTGTAAGTGTTAACGATAGGGAGATTCTGAGGCTGTATAAATCTTTCCAAGCTGACAATGTTGTAATGGTTTTCAGAAAGTCAAGGCTACTTCCCCATGGATGGATCCCTGTTTCGATCATTCTTGTAGATAATTTGTTAATAAACAATACAGGTGAGTTTGGTTTGCATCGAACTACAAGTTTCCGTTAGGTGACACAGTAACTTTATACGCCAAGAATAACAAACATTAAGGCATTATTACAACTTATGATTGCCTCCACCACAATACCTACTTAATTCACTCACTGAGTATTCATTTATTAATCTATCATGTTTTATTCAAATTTTGGATCTGCTAACTTTGCCAGAAAAATGGAACGCAAGTACGAGAATCTCATGGAAGTTGGACCGTCGAATGAGAGTTAATAGTTTGAGCAAGCTGAATTGTAACCCGACGGAGATTGATTCATGCAATGGTTTTAAGGTACATGTATTTCAATAATTGGTGTCATCACTGAATTTTTTAGTTTTTAGTTGTGTAGAACAATTAGAATGGGTTTGGTATGTTAGTTAGCATTCACATAATGTTCGTGTTTTTGAAAGATTGAATAAATATATTATTCAGAGAGATATCTGTGGGCTTCACCTACATTTTTGTTAAATGGGTGTGCTTGGAGTAGACAATCAATTTTTACTTGGTTTAGTTAGATTATTGTGTTTACTTGTCCTTTGGGATGTTGTGGGTGTTTTGAAAATGCTTGTCGGATGCGACCTTTTGTATAAGGTTTAGTGTTGTATATTATGTACTTTGGTGGGATTTCTACTTCGAGTGTAGCAAAAAGGGTGTTGAAAACACAAAAGGAACAAAGCATAGGTTTCTTCAATGTGATCCCTTGTACCATGGCTTAAATAATTATGTTCTGTTTATATATGTTGTGGAAGTATTTTAGAATTTGGATTTTTGGAATAGTAAAAAGTGAATATAAAATAGGTATTTGATTTGATGTAAATAGGTGTTGAATATGATGTTTTGTATCTAAAATAGGTTTTCATTGTAACATTTAAGATAAAAAATAGTGTGTTTGATTTGATATTGTTAGGAGAAATTTTCATGAATAGTAAAAATCTTGTAGAAAACCCCAATCAATTAGTGTCCATAGTTTTAGAGGTGCTTTTGTTGTAAGGTATGGGAAATCTTGAAAGTATTACAGGGAATGATATTCTATATGTTTATGTTGACTTTTATTATTATGTATATATATATATATTGTATATTATACATTGTATTTTTTGGGTAATATTTTTGAAGAATTGTGTATATTAAAAACACTAATACATAGGTATTTGATATGATCTTTTTTTAAAAAAAAGTACTATTGAGCAATGCCAGAAGTAATTTAGAAATATATTAAACAGAGCCATAAATAATTATTATTGTGCTTTCAAATAATTTTTTTTCATTGTTATTCACTCAATGATTGGGTCTTTGTCTTGCTTTAAAAGTTTGTGAAATAAGCTCATGTTTGGTTACCGGACCCTGTAGTTTTTTCAATGTGATGTAGAATTCCACTTTTTTCCTCCATAATTGCTAGAAAGTATCTGTGCAACTAATGACGGATTAGAATTATAGGCTGCACAGGTTTGTGGAGCTAAATTCATGATGGCATCCCTTTCGTCATGTTTTAGATCAATACTTCCAAATAGTGAAGATACAGTGATGAAAGCACTCCATGAAGCAGTCACCTATGCAATTCGAACAATTACAGCTTCAAATTCACCCTTTGGTTGTATGTCTAATTCCCTTAGTAAGCCGGCGCCACTCCATTTGGATGTTTCTCTTCCTTCATTGCAAGACATCAAATGGAATTTTGCTCGACTAGCTTATTTGTTCAACACGCAACTCGAGAGAAATGTTGCCATGTAAGTGTAACAAAATTCATTTCTCACTTACACTGTTTTCAATTAATTTTGTGTACTGTCACTTGGTTATGCTTTTTTGTTTCTTGAAAAGTGTATACTGCTAATCTCTGGTTGTTCGATTTCTTTAATTTACTTTATGCTTTATATATAACTTACAAAATCACAATGTGGGTTTTCAGGATATTTATCGTGCTCCTCGCTGCATGCTTCTCATTTGTCATTATTGGAGGCTTCCTCTTCTTTAAGTTCAGGTTAAGTTTCTCCATACATTCATAAAACAATGCTAACAATCTTAGGTTATGAATGTTTGTTCCACAGGCAATCTTCTGTTTCCAATCCTTTTAACCTTGGTTGTCGTCAAATCATATTATCTAATACAAAATGTACATTACCTCCCCCCTGTCTTATCATTTAATGCGTAATGATTAATAAGGATAAATACAGGGGTAGCACCCACTCTCTCGAGGATTGCTTTTGGGAGGCTTGGGCTTGCCTGTGTTCATCATCTACTCATCTCAAAGTACGATAACATCTTTCTCAATCTGGTCACCATTACATACAATCTAGCTCGTTTATTGCTAGATGATGAATTAACATAGTAATGTCTACGGCAAAATACCATTGTCTGACTACAACCACAGCAACGGACTCGAATTGAACGTGTGATTGGCTTTGTTCTTGCAATATGGGGCATACTATTCTATTCCCGGCTGTTGAGCACGATGACTGAACAATTGAGGGTAATTTCTTTAGAAAAAAACATTTACGCTTTGCTAGTTCAACAGGATCATACATTCATACTCCTCATAAGCATTTCGATAGAACAATATGCACAGGATCAGAGAAGGGGCACAAATGCAAGTTTTAGAGGCAGATCATATAATTATTTGTGGGGTTAATAGTCGTCTCAGCTTTATATTGAAGCAGCTGAACAAGTATCACGAATTTGCCATTCGCTTGGGCTCTGCTACTGCTAGGTGGTTGCTGCTCTCTGTGATTTATCAAATCTTGGAAATGGTTTCGAGACAGTACTGTGCTTACTGTATTTAAATGCGTGCTTGCAGAAAACAACGTATTCTTCTTTTGTCTGACCTTCCAAGGAAGCAGATGGACAGAGTAGCGGACAACATGGCCAAAGATCTCTATCATATTGATATTTTAACAAAAAGGTATATTCCATTAACCGAAGTAATATTATGCTTATGCTTAGGAATGGTTATATGAATTGGAACTCGTACATCCAAGTATGCACATTTGTGCATATGGCTATACTGTAGGCCAAAGATCTGTAAATCATATTTGACATTCCTTCAGTTTCACGAATGTGGTTTGAAATATGCAACAACAGACGTAAATTTATGTTTATGGATTTCTATACCTTTATCACAAACCTAAACTCCCCTCTTGCAGTTGTAGTCTAAGTTTAACAAAATCCTTCGAGAGAGCCGCAGCCAATAAAGCACGCGCTATAATCATATTACCAACCAAGGAAGATAGGTGCGTATTAGATCGTGATTTCCTTGTTATTTGCAATTATGCTATTCATGTTTCTTGTTTTTTGTGGATAATGTATACATAAATAATAAAGTGAAATAGACTATGATGCAATGCATAAGATGCCGCAATTTATTAGCTATTTTATTCATTCAGGTATGAAGTCGACTCCGATGCATTTCTATCTGTACTTGCTCTTCAACCCCTTGCTCTGATGGGCTCTGTGCCTACTGTAGTCGAGGTAGTTTCTTGATCTTTTTTGTTCTTGTATTACAATGCGCAAGCTTTATTCTATTTTTGTGGTAAGGTTTCTAGTCCAAATACAAGCGAGCTTTTGAAGTCCATCTCCGGCTTGAAAGTGGAACCTGTGGAGAATGTTACGTCTAAGTTATTTGTTCAGTGCTCCCGGCAGAAAGGACTTATAAAGATATACAAACACTTGCTCAATTATCGAAGTATGTCCACTTCTTTAGTTTTATCAAAAACTTATTTGGTCTGATATAATTTTGTGTAGTAATGGATATCTTGAATGTCAGAAAATGTATTCAATCTATGCAATTTTCCTCATTTAGAAGGACTGACTTACAGGCAATTGAGACGCGGGTTTCAAGAGGTAAAACCATAAACCATTACAATTTTCTTTGATGCATTGATGATACGCTAAACTGGCTGTTTTGCAAGTTAATTCTTGGTTTCATTACTTTCAGGCCGTTGTATGTGGTCTTTATCGAGGTGGACAGATTTATTTTCACCCAAAAGACAATGAAGTTCTGAAAGAAACTGACAAGGTACAGAACCGAGTTGTCGTCAGCAATCCCTCTTTCGATCGCCAATGTTTGCAATTCATTTCACTTGCAGGTGTTATTCATTTCGCCTGTGCATGGGAAGAAGAAACCGCAGCTCTCATATCCACAAGACGCCAAAGAATGTATTAGCATAATCAGTAACTCGGAAACTGCTACGAAAAACAGCGAATCTCCCCTGAATAGAGCTCGCGATGTTACAAAAAGGCTGGAAAGTATTGTCAGAAGACCACAAAGATCGCGCTCAAAGGTATACATATGTATCTTCCAACTGATGTTTATGATGGTCCTGATATTTGTCAATTTTCTGCACACAGGCATCCGATTGGAACCTTGGACCGAAAGAGTATGTACTAGTGGTGGGATGGCGCCCCGATGTCGTACAAATGATTGAAGAATACGACAACTATCTTGGACCTGGCAGTGTGTTGGTAAAATTTTTGCCGAAATTTGTCACTGCTAAATATACGCGCATCCCCAAATTAACTGAATTATGTTTAATTGTTATGTATAAGTGCAGGAAATATTGTCGGAGGTTTCGTTGGATGAAAGACGAAAAGCATGCGAGCGTGCTGGTCAAGGAAAGCTGAAAAACATATCCGTGTCGCATAGGGTAAAAGTGCAGTCTTTGTGTTTTCTTGTGCTTTTCTTGTTTGCCGACAAATGAGTTTCTCAGCTTGTGTTTTTCATAGGTCGGAAATTCTATGGACTATGAAACATTGAAGGAAACCATTATTAACATTCAACGGTCCTTCAAGAAAGGCAAAGATTTCCCATTTTCAGTTGCTGTAGTTTCTGCTAAAGAGTGGCAAGTTGGAGGTAGAATCAATTTGCCTTAGGCTTAATTTACGTTTGAAAAATCACTTTTCATGTATTTTAGTGTTTTTTTGGTTTAGATCCATCGAGAGCGGATAAAAACTCCGCGTATTCACTCCTCCTTGTTGAAAATATTTGCGGTAAACTTGGAATAAAGGTGCGCCTTCTTGAACTATTTTGATGGTTGAATTTTAATCTCTTCGCCAGTCGAAGGAGCTCAATCTTTTGCTCATTACTTCTTGGTTATGCATATATATATATATTTCCTTAGGTTTGAGTAACTTTCTTCGATTACTTGTAGGTGCAAAACCTTGTTGCCGAAATTGTGGATTCAAAATTGGGGAAACAGGTAACAAAAAATTTTGAAATAGTAAAAGATTAGTATTTGATGCGTTTGTTTTTTAAAAAGTTACTGGAGATGAATAGGATCAAAAGTTTAAAAAATGTCTTGCAAACAGACCTTCTTGTCGTCATTAATGAATTATATATTTGTTCATACATATCCATATGTCCCGGCTTCTTACATTTTCTTGCGCATCGGTTTCCCTTCGACTTGTCTATGCAGATCACACGGTTCAGACCATCTCTCACGTACATTGCAGCCGAGGAAGTAATGAGCCTCGTGACTGCTCAAGGTCTTGATTTCCATATTAATTCCTAATGAATTTCATACTCCATCGTGTCTCACACCGTCATCTTTCCAATTTGCAGTGGCTGAAAACAGCGAACTAAACGAAGTCTGGAAAGACATCCTAAACGCCGAGGGAGATGAAATATACGTAAAGGTTATAAATATGCTTGCTTAACTTTTCTTTCTTTTTTCATTGATGGTGTGGAAATTCACCACCGTTATTTTTCGAATGCGCTCTGGATAAATTCCTGACTGAACCTAATAGCCTGCAAACTAGGTCGGCAAAGCAAATTACACTAAGGGTGTATTTGTTTGGGGTTTGGATTTTAAATTATGATTTGAATAGTTATAATGTAATAGGTGTTAATGTGATTTTTGAATGTAAAATTGATTTTTAAAATAATATAAAAAATAAAAAATAGGTGTTTGATTTGATATTTTTTAGAGAAAAATTTGATGAATAGTAAATTTTGGGGAAAATCTTATGAACGAACACACCCTAAGTAAATTATGCGTGACAAGCAAGATCTAGACGCGTTAGGGTTTCAACTTTTTTTTTTTTTTTTCTTTTCTGAATAACGCGCACTGGATAAACCTGCAAATTAGGCCCAACAAGACAAGTCACACTGGGATTAGTAAAAATTTTAAATTGTAACAGTGGTATGACCTGACATAAATAAGTATTGATGTGATGTTTTGAAAATATAAAATTAATTTTTAGTATAATATAAAAAAAAAATAAAAAATAGGTGTTTGATTTGATATTTTTGGGGGAAAAAATTTGGATGAATAGGATTTTGGATAGATCTTTTAAACGAACACATCCTAAGCAAACCATGTGTGACATGTTACTTGTGGCGTCGAGGTTTGAACTTTTGAACAGGCGCGCTATGGTTATAGTGTATTTTTTTTTCATGTGAATGTAATATTTTGTGAACAGGACATTGGCCTGTACATGAAACCGGGAGAGAATCCGTCGTTCAACGAGCTATCAGAGCGCGCAAATCTTCGAAGAGAAGTCGCAATTGGGTACATCAGAAACAACAAGAAGGTACCAAATTAAAGGCTTTGTCTCGATTATACCTTCGCCGCAGAGATCGTTTAGCCCCTTTGATGGTTTCAGGTCATAAATCCGGTTCCAAAATCCGAGCCCCTGAGGCTCGACTCGACGGATTCGTTGATCGTGATATCGGAGCTCGAAGGAGAACAACCAGTAGTTGTGTAATGTTCATTTTTCTCCATTTCTGGAATGGGAAGAAGCCTTCATCTACCTCAGTGTGCCTATCTTGTTTCAATATATTTAAATTATATAGTATATTATATCCAAGTAAATACTTTTACTTTTTTGGTCGTCCAATTATATACTCAAATAATTGGATACGAGTTTTAATAAAAATGAACCATCATTTTTTTATTATTTGTAGTAAAAAAGCAGAGAAAAATAATATATATTTTTTTTTTTGTTTAAAAGAAAAACAAGAATATTGTTTTATAATTAAAAATAAGTAAACATAATTTTGAATGAAGGGAGGAATATTAATTAAAATATTAAATATATGGTACTGTCTAATTTAACTTTCGGTCACATATTCAACTATCAATCAAATGCATCGGTTGTTTCCTTGATTTTAATGATGTTTAGTAAAAAAATAATCGATTCGTCTCGAATTAAAGGGGTTTTCTAGAGTATTGTATTAAATTAAAAAATATTATTTTATTAGTTAGTAAAAGTGTATAAAAGATTTTGATATTTTTGTTTTTATCTTTGTATGTTTGTAGTTTACTTAAAAATTAAAAGTATTTTAGTATTAGTGTATGATTATTATTTTTAATAAAGTAGATACATTGATGTGTGACAGACTAAAAAAAATAGTACTATGAAGGACGAGGAGAGTATAATTTATTTCTAAATAATTTATAAATTGCATAATATGTTATTTTAAAAAAGAGGTAAACTGTTTTTTTTGTCTCGTAACTGACCCCTTATCATTTTATCATTTTAGTCTGTCGCAAACTAGTCCCATAAGTGAAAAATTTTCGCTATTTTAGTCCTCCGGCGCCGGAGACGCCGGCGTGGCTCGCCGGAGACGCCGGCGTGGCTCGCCGGAGGTGACGTGTCCGCCAAGTGTCCCGTCAGGTCAGCGACACCTGGCGGAGCCGGAGACGCCCGCGTGGCTCGCTGGAGGTGACGTGTTCGCCAAGTGTCCCGTCAGGTCAGCGACACCTGGCAGACACGTGGATTTATTTATTTTTTTTCATTTTTTATAATTTTTTAATTGGACCAAATAAAAAAATAAAAAAATACAAATAAAATTAAAAATAAATTAAAATAAAGTTTAAAAAATAAAAAATAAAAAATCCACGTGTCGTCACCTCCGGCGAGCCACGCGAGCGTCTCCGGCGCCGGAGGACTAAAACAACGAAAATTTTTAAGACTAGTTTGCGACAGACTCCACTTACAGGATTAAAAATAATAAGGGATCATTTACGAGACTAAAAAAATAATTTACCCTTTTAAAAAATTACCAAAGTAAACAAAACTTCAGATTTATTTGGTAACTTTCCAAACTAATACTCCAGTATTTTCATTACTATTTTTTAAAAATATATAGTACTATAAAAATTCTAGTTAAATTAAAATTTCAATAAAAACTTGGATTTGTTTGTTTGCATGTTTCTTTTTGATGAATTTGGAAAAGTTTTAGTTTAAGTTTGATATTTGTTGAGCACAAAAAACCAATGCGTAGGGTTTTCGAGAATGGACCTCTATTACATTGGGTTAAGGATTGACATAGAGTTTAACGGGCATGTTAACAGTAGCAGGACCTTAAAAAGGGGGTCCGAATATAAGTCCAAGCGCTGTTAGGAGAAATGTTTCCTCGGAAAAGACGAGGTCGGGCACGGAGGTCAGACAAGGTCGTGCACGGATGTCGGGCAAGACGAGGTCGGGCACGGATGTCGGGCAAGACAAGGTCGGGGACAGAGGTCGGACAAGACGAGGTCGGCCATGAAGGTCAAACAAGGTCGGGTACGGAGGTCAGACAAGGTCGGGCACGGAGGTCGGACAAGACAAGGTCAGACATAGAGGTCGGACAAGACGAGGTCGGGCACGGAGGTCGGACAAGACAAGGTCAAACACAGAGGTCAGAGAAGACGAGGTCGGGCACGGATGTCGGGCAAGACAAGGTCGGGCACGGATGTCGGAAAAGACAAGGTCGGGCACAGAGGTCAGACAAGATAAGGTCGGACAAGACAAGGTCAGACACGGAGGTCGGACAGGATAAGGCCAATACAGAGGTCAGTCGAAAGAGGAAGTCGGACGAAGAAGGGTGAGACCGTCAATATGGAGGTCGGTCAAAAGAAAGGTCTATTAGTTGGTCGCCTGATAGATTGGCCGGTCACTTGGTCAGACAGTAGTTCAGTCGCTTGATTGGGCGACCAATGAATCGTCTGGACGAATGGTTGTTCAGCCGATTAAAGAGACTTGATGGTGGTCGCCTGATTGGGGTGACCAATGAATCGTCTGGACGAATGGTTGTTCAGCCGATTGAACAGAGTAGATGATGGTCGATTGATTGGGCGACCAATGAATCGTCTGGACGAATGGTTGTTCAGCCGATTGAACGGACCAGATGGTGGTCGCTTGATTGGGCGACCAATGAGTCGTTTGGTCTAGCGATCAGTTAGTATCTGGATTGGTCGGTTGGTCAATCGTTGAGTTATTCGGTAGGTTTAGTTGGTGGGTGGTCAAGATGATTTCTCAGTCGGATGGTGGTTTATGATCTGTCTCAAAAAGTATTCAGAGGCGGTCGGTCAAGGCAGCTAAGTGCTGTAACTGGCGCGAGCGGTCGGTGAGTCGGTAAAGACACGTGTTGACAGAGGAGGACCTTGTAGGCAGTGGACAGGTGTTTGCTGTAAGTCGGTTGAGAGAAGTTACAACCGGCGAGCGGGTACGAAGGCACGACCTGATTGTGGCGGTTAACATAGGTTTTAAATAGGTATGTTCATGACTTAAAAGAAACCATCTTCAATCGAGAGAATTGCTTTTGAGGATCACCACTTTACTTTTTCATTATGTAGTTTTTTTCTTATTTTACTTATATATCTTACCGTGCCTAGGGATTCCTAATGTCAGACATTTATTTTATCAAGTTCGAAGATAATTTCTATTTTTAGATTTTATTTTTTATTGTTGAAAATCGGCATAACAGTCTTACAATAGTGTATGATAAAATATTTTGTGACAAAAACAAAAATGTATTTTTTCCTTAAAAAATATTTTAGTAGAAACCTAAAATTTGAAGGGTAAAGAAACAAGCGTTTTGATTTAATCTTTTTTAAAATGAAATATAAATATTGTATTATTAGTATAAAAAGAAATTATATTAAATGTTATTTTTATAAAAAAAATAAAATATATTATATATTAGAATCGAATAAAAAATTTGGCAAATAAATTTTTAGATCAAACTCCAACCCACTGCATTTATGCACAGTGGAGTAACAGTGGAGTGGAGTTTTTGTGGTATTTTTTATATTTTTGGTATTTTTTGAGTGTATTGTGTAATTTTAATTTTTTAGTAGATGATATATAATTTTATATTTTAAAAAGTTATATGTAATTTTATTTTTTTGAAAAATAATGTATAATTTTATTTTTTAAAAGTGATATAATTTTAATTTTTGGTAAGTAAGTATAATTTTATTTTTTAAAAAAATAATGTATAATTTTATTTTCTAAATTGATATATAATTTTACGGTTGAAAAGTAATATAAATTATATGTGTATGGATCTAATATAAAAATAAATTAAAATTGAAGTGTAATTTATAAATATGAAAAGTTATATAAAATAATATAAAAAAGGAATATATAAATAATATAATTAAAGTTTATAATTAAAATAAAATTAACGTAGATTAACGTAAATGTAGCAACTGCAAAAAAATGTGGAGGAATGGAGATTGCTTTATAATGGAAACGCAACTCAACAAACCATTAATAACATTTCACAACACACGTCACTATTTATTGCCACTTTAGCCCCATAAACTAAAATTTACTTTTCGCCCCTGAAAGTACACATTCTTATCTATTGATCGCGATACAATTAATTAATATCAATTCGGCCCCATGCCGATTAAGTCGAATTTTTGTTCTTGCCGCAGTCCGAATTCGGAATTCATCTCTCCCCCCCAGACCCGCCTGTCTACTTCACGCGCTGGGAGAGATCGATGGGCGTTCCGAGGAAGAAGTATCTCTGGTTGATTTTGCTAATACTTTCGGAGAAATTTGTGTGCGGTGTTCTTGCGGAAAGTGTCAGTAAAGAGGAAGCTAAGCTGCTTAGAGATGAGGTCTGTGAATTCCCAATTTGTAAAGTTTCAGAGATTTGAATGGTTTTGTGAAGCGTATGGATGAATGTCTGTCCAAATAACTCGTCTTTTTCAATGCAAGATTTGTTTCTTATATTACTGGGCTTGTTGGAAGTTTTATTAGATGTTTATGGAAGAAATGAATGATGAATGAATCGAGTTTTTATTGGTTAGTTATCGAAGAATCAACTATGTTTTGAAGAAGGTATTAAATTCTTGTTGTGATATGACAAAACTTGGAAATTTGATTGTGCAAGTGTTCTTAGATGGTGTGGTTTCATTCATTGAGAAATCTTTTTAATGAATCGAGTTTTTATTCGTTAGTTGTCGAAGAATTGACTATGTTACGAAGAAGGAATTAAATTCTTGTTGTCATATGGCAAAACTTGGAAATTTGAATATGCAAGTGTTCTTAGATGGTTTGGTTTCAGTCATTGAGAAATATTTTTGAATCTGATGAAAGATGAATGAATCTAGTTTTTATTGGTTTTTTTGTCAAAGAATCGACTATGTTTCGAAGAAGGAGTTAAATTCTTGTTGTGATATGACAAAACATGGAAATTTGAATATGCAAGTGTTCTTAGATGGTGTGGTTTCAATCATTGAGAAATACTTTTGAATCTGATTAATTTAGGTGCGCGATATGTTTTATCATGCGTTTGATGGATACATGAAGCATGCTTTTCCGCGGGACGAATTGAAGCCGTTGTCGTGTGGAGGGGAAGATACACTTGGAGGATATGCATTGACATTGGTGAATTCAGCAACCATTTATGTCTATGGCCGATTGTTTCTAGAGTTGATTATAATCAGCTATTCTTTGCTATACTCAGATTGATTCCTTGGACACGCTGGCTTTGCTCGGTGATCGGGAACAGTTCACCTCATCTGTTGAATGGATTGGTAAAAATCTTCGATTTGATATTGTGAGTACAGATTTCATGTTTGTCTAGGAAAAGAACTTTTCGATGACTATCTTGTTTCCTTTATCCTGTTTGAAATTCCAATTCTGTCATTGAATTATGTGAATGACTGATTGCTCTTAGCATATTGTGGATGTGGAATCATAAAATTGGGTGCTACATTTCCGGACATGTAGGGTGTGTCTGTTTGTGGGTTTGGATTTTTTAATAGTAAAAAATTTAATTTAATAGTTGTTTGATATGATATAAAATAGATATTGATGCGATGTTTTGAATGTAAAATAGATTTATAGTCTAATATAAAAAAAAGAAAAGTAATTTTGATTTGATATTTTTAAGGAAAAAGAGAATTTGAATAGTAAAATTTTGTGGTAAAATCTACAAAAGAACACAACCTTAGGGGATGAATGGAGTTTTGAGTTCATTGAAATGGAATTAGGGTCTAGGCATTTCTTTCGTGTTTTCCTTTGCTACGTTAGAAATTATGAATGGAGTTTCAAGTAGATTTAAGTTTCCAGGCCTTTTCTGTTTATGACAACTAAAAAAAAAAAGCCAGCTTATGGTACTTTTGCTGCACATAGAAGCTAATTCTTGGTAAGATAGCTAGATTTGCTGACTCCTATACGAAAATGACATATTAAATTGTAAAAGCTACTAGAGTCTGATGTCTGGTTATGTAAGATGCAGTAAATGTGATCATATATATATATATATATATATATATGTATTCATCTTGGCATGCCATTGACTTTTTTTTTAATTAATTGTAAGTGGTTAAATATATAAGTTATCGTACTGTTCTAATGTAAGTATATTGTTACTCTAGTCAATCAGAAGTTGACTCGTAATATATTTTGATGACATTGCCACATTCATTGCTAGCCGCATTCTGAAAGTCTTATCCTTTTCTTTCAGAATAAAACTGTATCGATCTTTGAAACGACAATAAGGATACTTGGTGGCCTACTCTCCGCACATCTAGTTGCAAGTGACTATAACACGGTATTAATTACTAAATTGACAATTATTCTTCTTGTGTTTATACAGTTCCTAGTATCACATTACATCTACTGTTTGGATCGCAGGCTACCGATCATTTCCACGCCTTTTTGTTCTGTGGTGCCTTTGAGTTCTCTAGAAAACCTTATTACTGGATGTTATTTATTGTTACTTTTTCTAGCATGTATCTAAATCCTGCAATAAATTAGAATAATAGCGACACTGATGTCAAAATTCGCTTTAAAGCGTAGTAATTGTAACTGCTTTAAGTATACTCATCATACGTGGATCCAATATGAAGTAAATAAATTTACCCATACTAATTTTTACTGCTGCAGGGTATGAGGATACCATCATATGACGATGAATTACTTCACTTGGCAGAGGATTTAGCTCGTAGAATGTTACCTGCTTTTGATACTCCTACAGGTATCATCAGTGACATCTCTCTTTCAACATCTGCTTTGGAATGTTTCCTCTCTTATCGTTTTTATACACATTTTTTTACCTGCATGTCCATATGGAACCTAACATTATATTGAAACCATGTATTTCGCCTGTACTTCCCATGGCTAATATAATCTTTCCTTTTTCCCTTCTTTTTTTTTTTTTTTCTTGATGGACTGTTTTGTATTTTATGCTATCTACTCCGTGGCTTATAAGATTTCACATTCTCTTTAACTTTTATATGTCAAACAGACTTAAAATACTGATCCATTAGTAACATCATACTAATGAGTAACAACAGGTATCGCCGAGTATTCTCTTTCTGATATTTATAAATTGCATTTTTCTGCAGGAATTCCTTTTGGGTCAGTGAATCTAATGCATGGAGTAGATGAAAATGAAAGCAAGGCAAAGCCTCTTTGTATTTACTTCACTCTCTCAACATGCTATTCATTTTCTATAATAATTATTATCCACATTAAGAAGAAAGAACACATTACTCTAGTTTATGTTTTTCTATTTAAAAATTTCAGACCCACAGGTTGTGTCTTGATGCCATTTTGCATTAGATTCTTAGGGAGCGTAGTATTATTTCTTACTTCCATTAAATTCAATTGTGTAAAATTGAATTGACAAGATGAAATGGATCCTTTTATTATTCTGTCTAAGAAGTTGTCTTCTTAATGTTCCAAGTTTGTTGATCTTGAAGCCATTTCCTCTGAAGTAGTATATGACACTTCTTAAAGTATGATTATTGAAATATTTCCAAATTACTTCCTTCTTATATCTCATTGAAACTCTGAGAAGTTCAGTTGAAGGTTTATCTTTCTCCATCTCTGATTTGTTTTAAGAAGTGTATGGAGGTATAGCATATGGTGATAGACACTGCACACAATGAATTAGACTTACACTCTGATGACTATGGTCAATTAGCTACATGGTTTGTCAATTGATGCGGGAATTTGGTTCTTTGTTCCTAGATAAAACAATTTGGGATTATGTATTCTCTTTACCATCACTTTTTGGGATATAAAGAATATAAAAGATCTTGTTTGTGTAGATTACATCAACAGCTGGTGGTGGGACCCTGACGTTGGAATTTGGAGTGCTCAGCCGCTTGACAAATGATCCCAGTAAGTATAGTAGAGTGATATAGCATCGCACATTGATTTTTACCTATCTCACTTAGGCTTTATCATCAGAGCCTGAGTTTGTGTGCACATCTTAAAGTTAATATGTATTCTTTGATTATCCCTAAATGTTGGATTGTATGTCAGTATTGTTGCTTCTAATTGCCTGATGTCATTCTTTTGTACACAAGATCACATCATCTTGTGTGTGCCTTCTTTTTTTTCGTTTAGACCTAAGATTTTCCAAGGGCAAGTAGCGTGTTATTGGATGTGATTGACTACAATAAAATCAGCATAAGATATGTGATTTAATTCACTTTCTTCCATTGAATATGTAATCTGGCTAAATTTCTGTGAGATCTATAATACTAAGCTGTAACAAGATATACAACAGATAACTTTGTGTGTGCCTGTACAGTACTAATTGGCCCATTGTCTTCCCTGTGAATGTAGTTTTTGAACAAGTTACAAAGAATGCAGTTCGAGGACTATGGGCTCGGCGTTCAAGGATTAACCTAGTTGGTGCTCATATCGATGTTTTTTCTGGTGAATGGACCCAAAAGGTAATTCGTGCAACATCTTTAAGTGTTTTGAATGAAGATTTCCCCCCCATAGATCTGATACGTAATTCTGTTTCAGTGTTTCGCAATGATGGGTGTAATTTAACATATCTGGATTCTATTGTAAACTCCATGAAATGTTTGTTAGAGATATTTGTGCTTATATTATCATATTCTTTAACCATTGACTTCTATCTGCATGATGAAATCTTTTCCTCGTAAAACATAGTTGAAATTGTGAGATACTTATCTATATGCTTGTTGAATTGCAGGATGCTGGTATAGGAACAAGTATTGACTCTTTTTATGAGTATCTACTAAAGGTATGTTTGTTAAGGGTGTGTTTGTTTGGAGGATTGGATTTAAATTCAACTATTCATCCAATTTTTTCCCCCAAAAAACATCAAATCAAACACCTCTTTTTTATTTTTTATATTATATTAAAAATCAATTTTACATTCAAAACATCACATCAACACCTATTTATATCACATCATACAACTATTCAAATTCAAAATTTTTACTATTCAAATCCCAATCCAAAATCCAAACCCCCAAACAAACACACCTTAAGTTGATTAATGATGCTGCTTTGAGAAAAACATTTTTATTAAGGCGTGCTGTTCTTTATTTTGCTAAGCAGCACAATTGAAGTGCTTACATTCTCTTATCACGGCTCTTATATGTTTAGGCTGATTATTTGAAATTTTATAGCTGTTTGATGAAATAATGTCATTTGTGATTGGGAAATTGGGGTTGAAGCTTACTGCCCATGTCGAGTGATTTGCTCTATATTTGTATATGTATCTGTTTATAAGTCAATAATTAATTCATGCCATGTTATGGGTTCTAACAACCTGGCAGTAGCAAGAACTAATGACTAGACTATTTGTTTGACAGTGAAACTTAAAATTCTCTTTGTCTCTTACATTATTTAGACAAGTTTAATTACCTTTAATGACATTCAGGACAAGAAATGTGGGAAATCTTATTAGATTTTTGTATGATCATGCTCTTTTTGAATGCTGAAATCTATTTTATGTTGATCTTTAATTAGCTAACAACCAAAATTTTCTTGCTCCCAAGCTTGCATAAAATATCTCAACGGTCACTGCTTTTGTAACAAAAATGAAAGTGATAATAGCCTATTTAGTTTTGAGTAGGTTTGCAATTTGATTGAAAGAGGGGTGGTGCAATTCTTTGTTACAGTCATTTAATTTGTACCCATTTGATAATCCTATTAATGTAGTTTCTTGAAGTTTTATATATTATCGAACTGTGAACATGTTGCAAGTGTCACTCCTTTTTTCTGATAATTGATTATTGACTTTAGGCTTATTTATTGTTTGGCGATGAAGAGTATCTGTTCATCTTCCAAGAGGCTTATAAGGCTGCAATGTTATATCTTTATAATGATCCTTGGTAAGTCGAATAATTGATTAGTTCTTCCTAATTTATTGTTGACCTTTTTGTTTATTCATTACATGTTTACATCTATAAATTTATCCTTTTTAGGTATGTGGAGGTGAACATGAACTCTGCTGCGCTCGTCTGGCCATTATTTAATAGTCTGCAGGCATTCTGGCCTGGCCTTCAGGTATTGATGCTGCTTATCTCAGTTTTGTAGTTGTAGTATACTTGCGCTCTTCTCACACAGTGAAAGCCATTCATACTAGGTTCTTGCTGGGGATATCGAGCCTGCAATTAAAACTCATGCTGCCTTCTTTAGTGTCTGGAAACGGTATGGTTTCACTCCAGAAGGTTTCAATCTGGCAACTTTCAATGTTCAGGTGGCTTTCTTATTTCTATCTTTGTCATAACTGTGTGCAATTAAAAAGGGTCCATTTTCTACACCAAATATTTGGTGTGGGAATTTTCGATCATTTTAGATTTGATATTTATGTTCGAATTAATCCTTACCATGTTTAGAAACCTGCAATTACACCTTGTATTTGATCGTTATTACTCAATTATATATGTATTTCACATATGTAATTACAAATTAGCAATTGAAGAACACCATAAGTTTGGTACACAATGATTATTATGCTTTTTGTCGATTGATGTAATCTTGTGCAGTAATTAAAAAGTGGGTGACTTATAGCAATGCCCATCTTATCTTATTAGATTAAGTATGCTTTTGTCGATGCTCATTGATGGGGTGTGATTTTTGGTAATTTCTCTTGCTTCTTCTTGATTTCCACGGCATGTGATTTGTTTTTGCATCATCTAATGTAATTATCTTATTGTTGCATTTCAGCAAGGTCAGAAAAGCTATCCGTTGCGTCCAGAGTTGATAGAAAGCACATACTGGCTTTACAAAGCTACCCGAAACCCAAGGTTTGAATGCTCCATTTTCAGTAATTTCATGTCTCGTAGAAATAAATTTTTTCTGAAACTTTTTATCTTGATTCTAAAAGCTGGGGCGATAGTGGGTTACCTGATTATCGAAAAATGTAGCAAGAGAGTCCACACTTGTATTACCATCTGAAAGAAACTCTTTTCCAAATTAAGTTCTTAACGGAATAATCAGAAATGCAAAACATGATATGGAGGATTAATTCCTTATTGCTTTGTGACACTTACTACACCCGAACGCTGTAATTGGATCCATTGTTGAATCGAGTGGGTAGCCTCAGAAGTCAGAACTAAATGTTAGTAATATGGATAATTTCTTATTCCCCCGTTAACCTTTTCATGTTAAGCGAAATTTCTATCACTTCATTTTCAACTCCCTCACTGGCATCATTCTGATAAATAAACACGTAGTTTCTCGTCTGTAGTAATATCTTATTTCCTTTATGGTCGTGTGATCTGAACCTTTACCAAAACTGCATAGATTTCTGGATGCCGGAAGAGATATGCTTGCTAGCTTGCAATATGGAGCTAGATGCACGTGCGGGTATTGCCACATATCAGACGTAGAATTTCACCAGCAGGAAGATCACATGGAAAGCTTCTTTCTGGCAGAGACTGTAAGTACTTTGCACACCGGTTTGCATAAATGCGTTTCAAAATCTCCATGAAAGCCTTTTCTACGTTATAAATGTTATAAGACATCGTAAAACCTCTGTTTTGAATCATCAAAACGAAAGTCCTTTCTTGAAACGCTGAATCTATTGTGGAAACTTTTGAACAGTAGCACCCATTGAAGATATGTCTTCATTCTTGCTGTTTATATATATATATATATATATATTGTTCGTTAATATTAATTTAACTCTCAGGTCAAGTACCTGTGGTTGCTATTTGATTTGGCTGCTGGTCCGGATAACCTGGTCGAGAATGGCCCATACAGGTTAGCTATTTAACATCAAAGTCATAAGTTAGTTTGATCCAATCCACGTCTGTCATTTAAGTTCTTGAATTCATTACATGTTCATTTGAGTTGCATGATGAAGTTATTTACATTTAATTATCTTTCTTGTTCGAAAACAATGCAGACTTCACATTTCTACGTGCCGGCTGTTTAATTAATGTTCATATTTCTTCTGCATCATATATCGGAAATTACAGATACATCTTTAGCACCGAAGGCCACTTGCTTCCAGCAACTCCACAAATATCGTTGGTGCACGAGCATTGCGCATACCTTGGAGCATACTGCCGAAGCATACAAGAAACAGATTCACACGACACTATAAAAGACTCCAGAGGCACAAATCATTCCGAATCTTTTACAGACACAGATAACATCAATTTTCAATCGTGGCCCAGTTTTCATAAGCCTCGATCTTTAGGATTGATGAAGGTCAGTAGTCAGTAATAAATTTCATGTACTTTTGTTTATGCGGATCGATATTATTATTTCATAAATCAATGAAGAAACTGATATGCGCTTCTAATATATATTGTATATATATATATATTGAGCCTTTGTATGTTCAATGCACAGGGATTTTGTCCCGGGTTAATGCACGGGCAAAAATACGGCGTATCATACATTTCCTCAGACAATCCCATTGTCGACGAGTCAGCTAGCACTAGGCAAGGCCCTGTGGTCGAGAATTCTCCCACCGTTATATTGATTTCAAGCAACAATTCCGATTCTCCTTCTGGCGATGTCTCTGAAAGTAATAAGGATGTCGAAGAAAACCAGCTTCCAGTAAATGAAACAACAGAAAATGTCGAAGAAACAGATGCAGAGTCGGGAGGTTCTTCCGAAGATTTTAGCGAACGCGAATGATTGAATTCAGTTTTGAAGATTGTAAGTTAAAGCCACCAGGTAAGACTGATTCCGGGATTCTTGAAACTCTTTCGAGATGAACTATTTGACAACATTGGGAAATCATTTGTCGGGTGGGAAGCCATACAAGGGACATTGTTGTCAGGTGGGAATCATGCACGGATCCGTAGCCAAGAACTTGTCGTGTTGTGTATTTTAGTGTTTACGGCCATTGAAGCTGTCGATCGATCTGCTCTAAAAGCTCGAGTCGACGGCTTAGTGTACAAAATTCGCCGGCAGCTGGAAAGAGGTAAAAATTAATGGCTCTAACATTTTGAGGGCCCTTTTTGTTCTTTGTAAGGTTTTTGACATTGCATTGTTTCAATTGAATGATTTTGGATCACGATATTTTGAATGAAAATCTAATTTTAGGAAAAAAATTTGATACATAACATGGTATTGAAATGAAACCTTAGGTTTACTGAGTAGTAATGAATTTGAGATAGTGTCTTTGTTATTAGATATCCACAACGAAAATGGTTTATAGAGTGTTAGATTAGGATAATCAATAGAATGTCATTATTCTTAATTAGTTTATATATTTGAGGCTAAATTGAACAAAGTAGTTTCATGAAATTAGTCTTATAAACTCATGGTCAAATTTTTTCATGGATTTATAAACTTTGCGTTAACCCCTCTCGGCGGCGTTTGCGCGCATTGGGTAAACCCCGGTCAAACCTGCTACTTGCAAATCAGGCTCGACGGGAAAGTCACACTAGGCGAACCATGTGTGTCAGGTGACCTGAAGCGTCGGGAATTTGAATCCATGACCTCACGGTCACACGTCCATCCCCTACACCACCAGGTCATCCCTTACGGGACTAATATATATCTTTTATTATAAGAGGCGTATGTTGTGTATTTTATTAGTTCTAATAAAAAATATATACTCTCTCTTTACACGTAAATTTTTTAATATTAGTATTATATTGGATTGTAGTTAAAAAGATGAAAATACCCTTATTAGTATTGTGTAATATAAAGGCGGTAGCATTTTTGTAATATATAAAAGTATTTATTATATTAAATGGGTAGTACAATTACTAAATTAGGAGATGAGGTTCGAGTGTTGTGTGTGATGGAGTATGCTCGTTACTTATAGGCATTGAGGGCAATGCCTAGTTCGAGTGGGGGAGGATGTCACGGACCAAAGCTTTGGCCGAGCAATGCCGAGAGAGCTGCAAAGGAGCGCCGAGGAGGGGCCTGCGGCATGCGAACACGGAAAGGCTAGCAGAGATCCTTGAAGATGTTCCGGAACCTTCTGGATTACTCTGGAACATTCTAGAACTCACAGATACGCTGCTCCATCTCGTCGAGCTTGTCGTGGTGATCTCCGACAGTTAGCTCTACCTTAGCCAACCTTCCGTCAAGAGTCCCCATGACTTCAGCAACCTTATCCTTGGCGTTCTTCCTGGTCCGCCTATGAACTTGGTTCTGTATTTGACATTTGATTGTTGTTGAAAGGTACCCTTGTTTTAGACGGACGAAAATAGAAAATGAAACACTTTTTATGGGACGGAAGGAGTATATTTTTTTATTTTCGTCTTATTTTTAAAAAGAAACTTTTATTAGAATAAAAATGATTATATATTAATAACAAAATAATCTTAATGTTTATATAATTAAAATTATTATTGATAATATATAAAACATTAATACAATAGTATTAATTTTGTATATTTATATTTTTAAAATATAAATTAATCATTTTAATTGAATTGAATTTTAATTCTTTGAATGTTTGTGGCATTTTAATTTTTAAATATGAAATAATCCATCTATTTTTTTGAAATAATGATACAATTTTAAATAGAAAACTATGTATTTTAGTGGTAACACAATTACGAAATTATAAAAAATTACTTTTGATGAAATAAAATCACTGCTGCCACTCTCCTATTAGTGAATCCCTTGTTTGCGAAGAACTTACGAAGCTAGTAGGCCGTTTCTTTAAAATTTGGACCTAATTTTGCACTATTTGTTAAAAAAAATTATTCTTAAAATTATCAAATCAAATATCAATTTTTCATCTAATTAATTATAAAAAAATTCAAAATATCATATTTAAAACTATTTTAATTTAAATTTTAATTATTAATTCTTAAATTCAAAATTAAGCCTTAAAAGTCTTGTTAGTTTAAAATTTGAATTTGGATCTAGAATTCCAACAATATTAAAAATGTGAATTTAGTATTTTATATGATATAAATACGTGTTTTATACTCTACTTTAAAAACAATTTTTTTTTTTATCATGTATTAAAGGAGAAATATGAATATAATTTAATAATTTTATAAGAAAAAATCAATATATAATACATATATAAAATTAAATGTCAAATAAACAAATTCGCGTTTTTATTTTATTATTACATGTGTCTTTGCATAGCAATGTATACATATGCATATAACAAATACTCTTTACTCATAACTTAGTCATGTGAAATATCTCGATCAACATGTTTATTACAATTTTTTTTTTCTTTTTTAGTTGACATCGTATCGAGTTTAGTCAATCATAAATACTAGGAATGACAATTGAGACGAGTTTGTCCTAATCTATTCCGTACCCTATGCTAATGAAAAGGGTTTGAGTAAAAAAATTTACACGATGAATTTCAGAGTCTTGTAAAATTTATATCGAACCTTTCCATTGTCATTCTTGATAAATTTTTTAACAAAGAATTTTATTTGGCATTTCAACATCTTCTTACATGATTGATTGTGGGTAAGTTTGAGATTAGTACAATGCCATTTACTTAAGTTCCAAATTTGAACGAGTCTTTGTACTATTTAGATTTTCATTCAAGTGATTTAAATCATTTAATACTATCTCTATATGCTTAAATTTTCACTTAAGACGGTATTCCGACCATCTAATATGATATTAGAGTTATAAATTTCGAGTTCGAATCCTTAAAAAAAATAATTAATGATGTTCCGATCATCTAACAAATAGGCAGCGCAAACCAACCAAACTAACACAATTTATTTATTTCTTTTATATTAATTATACGCACTATTGAAGTACTTCTATCATACCTTCATAATTTTTTTATGTATTTTATAGAATTTTTAATTTTATTGAAAAGTTTTCAAATGGCTATGAATAATTCATGTTAGAGTTGTCAAAATAAGTAATAAAATGTATTAACATGAATGGATAATATATAAATATAAATATATATTGTTTAATGTGTGTATATATTATATTTTTTATAGATAATATTTATGAAAAAACTGTGTTATCTAAAAATAAAAAAATGAACAAAAAATGATCAATTCACCTTATTCAATCCATCAACTACATGTAATCAATACAAAATAAATATTTCATTCGTCCTTCATTAAATGTTACATTTACTTTTGTGTCATTGTATTTGACATTAAAAATATATTTATATTTATATAATTTTTATTTTTTTTTATAAATATATCTCTCTATTAGTATTATAAGATGCATAGAAGTATTTTTTATAATTTTTTCTTAATTTGTACTATATTTTGATATAATAATTAATATTCAAATATTAATATACAAAAAGTAAATAGGACTCTTAGAGCCGGACATATATAGTAATAATTTTAATGTGAAATTTCTCCAATATGTTGATTTTTTATTATTATTATACTATACTCAGTCCCAAAATGATTGACCTATTTGTATTGGACACATATTTAAGGAACATTAATACTCTCTCAATACCATAAGAAAGAGTGATATTTTTCATGTTTCAAAATAAGAGTATCATTTTCTAATTTAGCAATTGTATTACAACTTAAAGCACAAATATAATTACTTTTATATTACACAATACTAAATGGGTATTTTTGTTTTTTTTTTTACTACAAACTAATATAATACAAATATTCAAAAACTACATAGAAAAAACAAATGACACGTTTTTTACAAGACGTAGTTAGTACTATTATATCGATAGTTGGTATAAAATACTAGTAATATTTTTTTTTGTCCCTGTAATAAATGTGCTAGCGTAGAAAATAATATTATTTGTGTAATAATAATAATAAAATAAAATTACTTTTATGATTATACGATTCTTTGTAGAAACGATACTATTGATTTGAAATGAATAAATATATATATATATATAAAAACAAGGCTATTTTAAAATAAAAAAAAAAAAAAAATTTGAGATGAAGATAGTATATTGTATTTTATAAATAGTGCTATTTCTTTTTAGTTTAGACAAGATTTTTCCAAGAAATTGAGTTGCCTCAAAATCTTGCAAGAATTGAAGATTGATAAATTAAATAAAATAAATCTAACAGAAAAGCTGTCTTTGGTTAGCCAAAGCAATTCTGACATTTGTCACCAATTACAATTCTGAAAAATATCTTTAAGTGAACCAGAAGCATAGTGTAAATTAATACTCCCTCCATCCCATTATTATTATTATTATTATTATTTATTCATTTATTTTTTCACGTAATTTTAAAAATATTAATATTATATTAAAATATAATAAAAATAAAATAAAAATGATTAAAATAACTTTATTAGTATGATGTGATATAAATGTAATGACATTTGTGAAATATATTGTAAGTTGTAAAAGTATTTGTAATGTTAGGTAAATAGTACAGTTACTAAAAAAGAAAATGAATACTTTATTACGAGACAGATTAAAATGAAAAAATGAATACTTTATTATGGAACGGAGGGAGTATTATATATATATATAATATTGTACAGTATTATCTCAAACTATTTATTGTTATTATTTTTATTTTTCAAAATTCTCAGAAATTTTTTTATTATTATACTCCTTCCGTCACATAATAAAATATCTATTTTTTCATTTTAGTTCGTCTCATAACAAAGTATTCATTTTCTTTTTTAGGAGTTGTACTATCTACTTAACATTACAAATACCTTACAACTTACAATATATTACACAAATATCATTGAATTTATAACAGATACTAATAAAATTATTTTATTCATTTCTACTTTATTCTTACGACATCTAAATATAATATTAATATTTTTAAAATTACGTGCAAAAAACAAATGAATATTTAGTTATAAGACGGAGGGAGTATATAAATTTAATTTCCATTTAAATTATTTTATTAAATTTTTACTTATATTATATCAAGTTAATTAAAATTTTTACTATACCACTTCGTCCTTTTTTGTCTTTTTGTTTGCCGAAGTTGAAACATGGCCTCCAATTTCTTACACACGTGAATATTTTTATATTTTTTCAAATTTATTTTGATATTACTCCCTCCATTCGAGATAACATGTCCAGGTTGCCGTTTCTGTCCGTCTCACATACTATGTTATTTTTCTTTTTTGAAAAATAATTACACACTTTAATCTCATTTTAAATTTTTTAATTTTAATTAAACTAATTAGTTATCTTAATCTTAATTTATAATTATTTATATTATAGGATAATTATTTTCACTAATACATCCTTAATTATCTACTAATTACACCCCTCATAAAATACCGTGTCTATAGTGTAGCAGACACGGTATCTAGGACGGAGAGAGTATTTATTTTTACAAAATACATCGAATATTAATTTTAAATTATTCTTCAAAAAAAATCAAAATTTCAAATATCCTCTGCAACAAAAATTTAAACTGAATCTCTATTTAGATAAATATTTTAAATATTTAAAAAAATTGAAAATAATAAAACATTTATAATTGATATTTTATTCGCCGTGAATAATTATCTCATATTTTTTTTATGCATAATTTAGTAAATAACCTTATACACCACAATTTGTCATTATTTTTCTATTTACCAATTATATATATATATTTTTTATTAATTTTTTAATAATTTTTTTATAATAAATCAATTTATTTTTTTAAAATACCGTGAAATCCATTGAATTTGTGCAGTATATATAGGTAAGAGCTAGTATTAATTATTTAATTTAACACGCATCTCTAAGTAGCCATTTGGCATATTTAAAAATTTAATCAACTCTTTCCCAGGAAATTAATTTAATTAAAGTTGGCTTTTAACACCAAATTAATTAAAATAGCTTATCTTGTAGAATCTACATTCAAGATTTTCTGTTCTTCACAAAACACAAAATAAATCTTCTTTTCTCAAAAGGATTCTTGCAAAATAAATTACTATTAAATAAATACTCCTTCCGTCCACGGATACAGTATACATTTAGTTTTGGCGCGTTGGGTAGTTAAACGTAGTGTAATGACATTTTTGTCCTTATTTTTTGGTATAAAAGTAATGATATGATACAAAGTAAGAGTATCTGTGGAAAAAAGTGAGGTATTTAATGAAATGTTTACTTTGTAATTAGACGTCCCAAAATAAATATATGTATACTTTCTAGATGGACGGAGGGAGTAATAAATAAATAAACTAACTTTGGATGCTCAAGTTTATCCTTAAATACATGAAAAAATTTGATATTAATACGAATCTTTTCTTTCCCCTAAACTAATGAACTAATCTAGAAATCTTTTGAAAGTTTACTCTATCAATTCATTTTTTACGAGACTTAATTTAATTTATTTTTATTTGTCTAAAATTGTTTAAAAAAAATTGATAATTTCATTTTAGGTAAATTAGATTATAAAAGATTGCAAAAGTATGATTAAATAATTTCAAGAATATACAGAGAGAGTTGTCAAAATGAATAGAATTTGTCGGGCTGACATGTCGAGGGTTTGGTTTAGTAATTTTAACCTACTTCCATCATAACTAATTTCCCAGCCAAAACTAACCTAATTATGGATTATAATGGATTGTTAGTTGTTTGAACAGTCGGCCTATCTCGACAACTCTAGATTTGATTTTATAAATTATTTGGGTAAAATTGTTTATAATTTTTCTGTAATTTCGAAATTCAGCGTAAAATCTCATTATACTTTAAAATTGGATGACACCCCCTTATAATTTAAAAAACGTGGCATAAAATTCCACCACTATGTAATCTCCCTTGTACGATGAGAAAACGAGTTCATATCTATATGTTTTGCATTGCAGGGAGTTTCATGCAATATTTTTGAAAGAATAAGGAGACGTCATGCAATTTTTTTTAAAGTAAAGTTGGAATTTACGCTGAGTTTTAAAACCTAACTTTTATTAAAGTATAAGAGAGCTATGCAATTTCTAAAGTAAATAAAAAATTTACGCTGAATTTCAAAATTATAAGAGAGTTATGAACAATTTTGCCGATTATTTGTTTATAACATATGTAATGGAATCCTAAGTAGTTTGTCGTAATATTGAGATTCGAAATCACTTCTAGATTACAAGATCATATTAAATTATTTGAATCAAGTTACAAACTATTGTCTTCAGTCGAAAGATTATCCAATACCCACTTGACGAATAACAGCTACAGATTATATATCAATAAAAATAAAATAAAAAAAAAAAACCGATCAAGATATATATGAATCCTTTTATATATATTTATATATACACAACAACAATGTCTAACTTTGGTTCGATGGATTGAAATTACAATACAAGTGAAAACACTTAGAACATTACATGATCTCGAAACCACCAAGGCTTCATTCCATGTTGTAATAGTATAAAGAAACCTATAAAATTTACTCTATATGTTTTTCCGCAGCCGTAAGACCTCTCAAACTCAAATAAATTTCGAAATCTAGATTCTTCGACAGCCCAAGCTGTAAGAAGACCATATATGATCATATAATTCCAAGAAATACGATCCCTCGTCCTCTTCTTCTTCTTGGCCCGTCAAATGTAATAATTATCGAACGTATTCTCATAGAACACAACCGCCCAACCCTCTAGCCTCCGGTCCCTTCATGATTCGGAGTCTCCGGCACGACGACATGAACATGCTGCAAGAAAAACACATAAACATGAATTGAGTATTAGTATTATACTTTCATCTATCGACTAAAAACAGACACACTTTCTTATTTACTAATTGTGATCTTTCATTGAAAAAAAAAAAAAAAAAAAAGGTCGAAAATGAGAAAATGGGCGTAGTATTTATGCCTTACAAAATTTTTGAATTTTTTCTTGACGAAATCATGGATTCCGTAGGATATTTTTAAAAATCTTATCGAACAAAAATGAAGTACAAAAAAAAAAAAAAAAAAAAAAAAATACTTGAATACGAATATAGAACTTATAATGTTAATAAAATATCTCATTATTTCATATAAAAATACTTACTCCCACGGCACATCTCCAACAAGCATTAAGTCGCCATCTTTGTCTTGGTATGCCGGTGCATATTCCGATCCTTTGTAGCCTTCCCTTTCCGAGTATTCGCCTGATCATCGAAATCAACAAAATTATTAGAGCACGGTTCGCCAAATCGACCGAGTTGGAATTGGAACAAAAAGCTTCCCGATCCATCAAACCCGATATTTCTCAAGTGTTTTCCTTTTCCTTTTTTTTTTTTTTTTTTTTTTTTTCTAATAACGAATCGAAACGACAGAGGACTAAATATCAGCGGACTAAATATCAGCAGAATTAGAGCTTTAAAATGAATAAATTTTGTGGACACTAGTTTTGAATATGAAATTTGTCTCTTTATTACATTTTATCATCTATAATATTCGGATTTGTAATACTTAATTTTGTAGCACATTTTAATTACTTATTATCATTTATTTTAAAAAAAAAAAATTGCAAAACTCTATATTAAAAAAAAGGAAACAAATTATGCGCAACCCAAACATATAATCCTAATTACCTATGGTGAGCTTGAACATGGTCTCCAAAGCTTTGAGGAGCTGGGGATAACCACTGTAAATTTTCAGATCGATCTTCCTGAGGTAAGGCGCTCCATCCATGCTCACTTTCACATACATTCCCGATTCCGATTCGCCCTTCTTCGCCTGGAAGCTGTTCTTCACCGGCGGCCATCCAACAATTTGTGCCCTAATTAACATCGAATTCCAATTAACCAGGTCAGCCATGAACAGTTGGATTTGTTTTTTCTAATTAGATGTTTAATTTATTTAAAGAAGAAATTAGGCTCTTACTTGGGGGCTGGGGCAGTTCCATGGTCGATTGATTTGGTAGCAGAATTGGAGCTCGATTCACTCTCCTCCGGCGCGGCTCGTTTGTTGTTGTTGTTGTTGTTCTTGCAACCAGAATTGATTTTGTCGGTTTCATCTGTTCCAGGTAACCCTAATCTGAGCTCAGTTGCCTTCAAGTTTAGATCACTTTCATGGATCTTATTTATGCTCCCCATCTGTTTGATGAAATGCCTCTAAAGCGCTAAATTAATCACAAACAAAGCTAAAAATTCTTGAACACAAATGGTGTGTGAATTAATCACTGGTCAATGAATTTCTGTAGCTATGAGTTGAAGATTTATTTCTAGGAGATTAAAGGAGGTGTTCTTATAGATATATAGATATATATATATATATATAATGGATGTTCATCTTGGAATCTGAGTGAATGAATTTGGGACAAAGGAAGGTTAATTATGTCGGCAGAAAATGGAGCAATTTAAAGACAAGTGGTGCTGTATTTGGGGGACATGAGAGGGACAAGCTCAGCCGCCCATATGGAAAAGACTTTTCTTTTATGTAAGAGAATCATCAATTTGATTACTTAGAAATGCACGAATTGAGTTATAGTTGAATAAGAGAGAAATAGAGCTTTAAAATGAGTAAAATGGTCGCCGGCTCGGCTCAGTTCGATTCGTTTCATCTTGTTCATTATGCTAAACGATTCGAACATGAATAAAAATATTTTAATGAGCTGAATTTAAACAAATGTTTTAGCATGTATCTTTTAATGAACGAATACAAGCTGAACTCAAATTTTTATTGAGCCGAGTTCAAATATGAAGAGCCTAGATTGGCTCGTTAAGGACTCTAGGTAAAATTGTTTGATCAAATTTTGAAAATAAGCTTATTTTAAAAAATAAAAAGAAAAGAATTTGAAAATTTTGATAATAGTAAAAATTTAATATTTAATATGATATTTTGTGATAATATATATATATTTAACGTAATAGTTTGGGAATAGTTACGGTGCTTATTAGCCTTAATCAGAAAAAAAAAATATAAATAAATAAATAAAAAATCAATACATAATTTTAAAGCACACAGCACATGACACATAATTTAGTAACAACCATAGTTGTTTTTTAAGACATTTTGTTGATAAATAGTATAAAAAAGTTTAAAAAATCTCTCTGTGTGTTTATTCGTGAGGTTTTAGTTTTGAGTTTTAATTTTAAATAGTAAAATTTTGAATTGAAATAGTTATTTGATGTGATATAAATATGTGTTGATGTGATATTTTGAATGTAAAATTAGATTTTAGTGTAATAAAATAAATAAAAATTGGGTGTTTGATTTGATGTTTTTGGAGGAAAAAAAAAGTTGGAATAGTAAAATCAGGTGTAAAACCTGACAAGTAAACACATGCGTTTTAGGACTTTTAGCTTATTGAATAAGCTTAGGTGTTTGACCAGTCAAAAAGCTAATTTAGGTGTTTGGTAAATTAGCTTTTTGAAATAGCTTTTTGGATCCAAAAAACTAATTTATGAAAAGCATCTACCCATCGTTTTGAAAGAATTTTTTCATTTTAATTTTGGTTATTTCTTATTTACCCTTAAAACTTAATTATTTATTTTATACATATAAATATATTTTTATAGCAGTATTTATTAATTATTTTTAATATATTTAATTTATTAAATTATATTTTTATTTTTGTAAATTTAAAATAATAATTATTATTAATTATTACATAGTAAAATATATAAATTTTTAAAACTAAATCAAATAAAAAAAATAAAAGTTATTAATTTATTTATATATATTAAAATAAGAATTAACATAATAAAAGTAGATTTACGATTTATTATTTTATATTTTACATAATTTCAATAAAAAATTATTATGTTTTAGTAAAAATAATTTTCTCAGACCTAAATAATAAAAATAAAAATAAATATTTTATAATATTTTTATAATTTTCAATAATTAATAACAAAAATTCTCATAAATTTCAAATTAAAATGAACAAAATTAAATATTTTAAAAAATAATATATCAATATCTTAATAGTCATTTTGTGTATTTTACCAAATACTTTAATACAAACGGTTAATTAAATAAACTAATCAAACCACCTAATTGAATAAATTAACAGTTAATTGAATCAGCTAACAGTTAAAAGCTATCAACTAATTGCCAAACACATTCTTTTTAAGTATTTATATATTCGAAAATCTTAAATCCCAAATAAAAAAGCTAAAAATTTGCCAAAAAGTTTAATAATAATAATAATAATGGCTTCAAAAAAATAGAAAAGCTTTGATTTGGACCCAAAATGATCTCAAACAACCGAAAAACCGTCGGACTTCGTTGCAATAAGTTTGATTTTTTTTTTTTTTTTTGGCTGTTTCAGATAAATCGTATGAATTTTATGATCCGAGCACAAAATAAAATAAATAAAAAAGGGTAAACTTGCAGTTGAAACGAACGGTCAAGATGCGTATTGGGGGGTCCGGGTGGTTGAATCTTGATCGTAGGATTTGTGGGGTGCACCCCATGTGAGGTAGGGTGGGTATCGTATATACTCACGCCAGGCATGTGGGCCTTTTAAGAATTCTTGGCAGGATTTAAAGACATCTGGTTAGACTTGTTCAAACGGTTTAAACAGCCGATTATTCGATTACGATTTGTGAAAATATCAACTCAAAATCGAATCTTCTGAATGACGGTTTCGATTACGGTTTATAAATCGAAAGTTTCGGTTTAAATACCGTCGGTTTCGGTTTGTACCGCCGGTTTATATATATTATTTTTTATATTTTTCTTTTATATTTTCTATATTTGAATTTTATTTAAAAATAATTAAATTAAATTTTAATTTTATTTAAATATATTTATTATGTAAAAATTATATATATAAATAATTATTTAGATTATTACAATATAAAAATAATTAAACTGATAATAATTTAGTTAATAATTAAATTAAATTTTAAATTTAAAAATAAATTATAATAATATTAGCATAATAGATAATAAAATAATTTAAATTAAATATAATTATATAATAAAAAAATTACAAAATTCAAAATATGAAAAAAAATATTATAATATTATCAATTTTCAATATATTAATAATTATTTTATTTTTATAAAAATTTAAAATCTATAAAAAAATAAATATAAATATAATATGCACACAAACACAATCTTACTTTTTACCCTAATCAACATTTACACACCCAGATACCGCCGCCGCACCAGCCACCGCCAGGTTTCCCCTCTTTCTTCTCCTTCTCCTTCTCCTTCTCCTTCTCTTTCTTTCCTTCTCCTCCTCCCTCCTCCTCCTCCTCTTCCTCTTCTTCTTCTTCTTCTTCTTCGGTCTGCTCCGCCTGCGCAGGTGGTTTTTTTTTTTAAAAAAAAGATAATTCACCAAACCGGCGGTTCACGGTTTGTAATTTTTATGTTTCAGTTTGAACCGTAACCGCCAGTTCAAAAACCGGAAAACCGGCGGTTCGAAACCGAGGCAAGTCTGAAACCGGCCATGCCATTGATTTACGGTGATTGATTCTTTTTCTTATTTTTAAGTGTTCTATTTTTTAATGTGTTTTTAGTATTATTAAAAACTAATAGTATTAAATTTTGAATATGAAATTTTAAATGAGAATTTATTATTATTATTATATACACACACCATTTACGTACATATAATACTAATAATAAAATAATAATAAGTAAAGGAAGGATTTGATGAGAGAATTAAAAGGAAATGAACGATGGATTAAAATATAGATGATTTTGGAGAGAATATACATTCAACATCCAAGATAGTGCATTTTTATCTTTGTTTAAAAGAAGAAAATAATCAAAAAATAAGAACTCAAAACAATACTAATACTAAAAGAAATTAACATAATCAAAACAAAGCATCAATTTTTGAATTGAAAACCAAATTGAAATAGTCCTACGAGAAGCAGAATCGATCGAGATTGACCGACGATGATCGATGGCTATTTTCGTCGAGCAGTGTTTCAATGATCAGACATCGGACGGAGACTTTGGGCAGTTTCGGTGATCCATCCTCCGGTGACTGACTACACAAATAGATCAGATCGGAAAACAACAACGGACGGACGGACGGACTACAGCGGTAGCCGGTCTTGAGCACTCCGATGGCGGTCGAACCGCCGGTTCGAAACCATTGGCATGTCTACGTTCCATCCACCATACGAATTCCATTTCCATCATCATGTCGCCATTTGATCCTCCATTGAAATTGAAATGCAAATCTCTCCCACTCTCCTCTGCTCCCCTCTACGTTCATATATATAGATATATATATATTCTCCCCCTTATTTCGGTTTCTTATCTATGTTTCCTGCCTTCCGTTCTTGCCATTGATTCAGGAATCGCGCGCTGGCTCTCCATTCATTGTCTTCTACGTCGACGTGTTTAATTTCGGCGGATTTGTTATGAGATGAAGCTCTTCGGCGGTGTCTCAATGTTTTGATCATTCGCAATTCTCGAATTCTCCTGTATCACCTGGGGATTTTGCATATTTATTGCTTTGACGGACAATTATGAATCTAGCTACAACGTCTATATTTTAGTTTTTTTGCTCCAAACCTTTGAAATGTTGGTGAATGGATGAGGCAGTGTTGGATGGAACGATTTCAAGGAAGGAGAAGTTGACTCCGACCGAGGAGCGTAGTAAAGTGGTGATGGCTAAATGCGGACACGAACGATGGATTTTCCCCTTAACGAGTCTGCAGATAGGGTAAGAACTATTGAACATTTCGTACGGATTTGGTATTAATTTGCTTTGCATCGTTCGATTGCTTTGAATTTTCTCTACAAATTTCATAATTCATGTCATGAATGATTTGACTGTTCATCATCACCATGCTCTCAAATTTGATTACCTTAACGATATGCAGGGATATGCAGTCCTACTTCGCACATCTCAACTTATTTCTTGCTTTTGAAAGTGGAAAATTCTACATATTAGTCGAGAACAGACCACGTTCGAAAGAGCATATGTCAGATCCTACGCATTGGTGGCAGTTGATGGTCACTAAGGTTGTTTTTTTCCCCTTCCAAAGCTAATCTAGGGCTTAGATATGAGTCAGGCTTCAATGATTAGTGCTTCAAATTATGCATAGTTTATTTCCATGAACGAGAGTCAATAAACCTGAATGATTAGTGCTCAAGTCATGCTCATCTCAGATTCTAAGCATATCATTTATATCCGAATGAAGTAAGAATCTATAGAATCGAATTCTGTCGAGAATAATAAAATGTTGTCTAATAGTTAGTGTCATTGAATGCTAGCTGTTTAAACGCAAATCCTGAATAGTCTGAATTTGCTTCGACTGGTTGGTTTCTCTGCACTATAATCTTAATGCTATTCAAAACCAATGTTTTGAAAAATACTTTCTCATATTTGTACAGTCCAGGTTATCCCCATTCGTGACTACAAGAGCCAGAAAAGAGGAAAAGATGCTTGAAGAACTTACAGAACTGCAGGGTTCTTCTGCTCCCGGTGCTAGCCTTACACCCGAGAGAAAGTGGTTTGCCTTGACGGATGCCTTGACATTGTCCCGGCACAGAGCCCTTCAGCCCGTACACAAGCTCCGGAATGCTTTGATTGAAAACAGCAAGTTGCTGCACCAAACATTCAGTGGCTTCATTGTGTTTGAGGTCACTTGGAACAATGTGCGGGGTATTAACTACCTAAACGAACTTCAGGTAAATAATACTGTTAAAAGCCAATAATCAATCTGAGTGATGCATTTCGAGGTTTTATCACATAAATTGTGAGTCTCAGTTCTTCTGATGATTACGTTATTTAGACCGACACATTGCTTGCAATTGAAGCAAAACTCATGAGAAGATGGGAATTCGACAGTATTGCACAAGCTGCAGCAAGCACAAGTACATGGTTTTCGGGGACAGTGAGCGAGCATATAGTCTTAAAAAAGCATCTGGATGCCGCTATAGGTATTTTATCCATGAGGGAAAACAAACATTTTCTAAAAACAGCCAACTAACTAATATGTAGGCTATTGCTTTATATCTGAGTTTAAAGCTATTATTGCTGTTGCAGGGGAAGTCTATCATGATGTTCAAGAAAGGCTACCAATGATTACTGAGGATGATATGGATGACGTACCGAATGAAGCCAGGAACGACTCTCCTAGTTGCACTTCTTGTTCGAATACAGAGACAACTGAAAATAAACAATGGCAGGAATGTGAAGAACCAATTGAGACAACTGTCTACAAGAATGTTTTGATTTTGTTCCGATTCAATGATCCGGAGCTACCCTTTAAATTGAAGGACATAATAATGTCAGAATTGTGGCTACTTACACTACTTGAGGCAGGACTTCCTCCTTGGGCTATATTCCTACAGTCTTACCCTGGATTCTCGCGACTTTATCGTCCATGGATGTGCCCGCTGGCACGAGCTTTGTACGTGCTCATCTCATTCGTCACAGTTGCCATTGGCTTCTATGACCTGTACAAAAACATACCACTTCTTAAAGCAACAGCTTCCCATTTATTTGGACCTCTTTTCGATTGGATAGAAGCATGGGAAATGGTTTCGAGGATCCAGTATTTGGGAACTATGCTGTTTCTACATAACTTTCAGAAAGCTGTGAAATGCTTTCTTGTGGTGGCACGGACCATCTTCTCATTCCTTTCTGTCTTTATTCTCCCCATGGCGCGACCATTTATCCGAATATTGGAATTCTTCCTTCCTCTTGTGAGCATGCTTATGGACATAGCAGAGGATTTCTTCTCTGTTATTTGGATGGTTGTCGAGACTACGTTTACAGTGGCAGGAGACATTTTAGAGATTTTGTTGCTACCATTTTGGTATGTGTTTGCAACAGCTTGGAATATTGGTAAGTTAATAAAAGATATGGTTAATCATAATAATATATCTATCTATCTGTCTGCTCTGATTATGATTGAGATTTTTTGTTTATTAAGCTTTCTTTGTTTCTCCTCTTGTGTTGTGTCTGATGCAGTAATGTCTTTGATATACCCTATTGTTTGGATGGTTTTTTATGCTCCATTTAAGCTGGTCCATGGATTATGTAGAATTCTAGCCTTCTTCTGTGCTTTTACGTATAATTTTCTTGGGACTATATGGCTATCTGCAAGGGGCCTCTTTCAGCTTTCGAGGGGTGTCGAGACAACAACAGTGATCACATATGAGGCTTCACTGTGGCGTTCTCTTTGGAATGATCTTTTCTCTCAGATCTTTCGTGCCCTGAGGAGTATTCTGAACGGCTTTGCGGTTTTCTTCATGGCATGTAACAGACATCGTCTTAGGTAAGATATTCTAATGGCTCGCTCTTAGGTTGGTTATCCATGTTTCTTCTTCTTCTTCTTCTTCTTATAAATTACAATTGAAAGTTTATTGTCCTGTCAATGCCTATGCATTATAGACCTTCGGTATATCTATCTATCTATCTACCTATCAGAGCTCTTGGGAATTGCCTTGCATGATCATAAGATTTGTGTACAAAATGTTGGCATGCTAGATGAAAAACTAATTGCACCCGCCATACTCTTTGATTTCTGTCCAATACTATTTAAGTCATAAAGATCACCAAACCTAGGAAGTGATGCGATAGCTATATGTATATATATATTTGAAATAAGACCATGTGCTTTTTGTTCATATTTATAGCGTGTATGATTTATAAGGAGTACTAACTTTATATGTTTTATGTGCTATGTGACTAAACTATATCATATTCATATGTTTTATTTGTATTATATTAAGTCATATTATATAATGTTGTTAGCACACAACATAACACAGAATTTAATTTTAAGCGCCTTAATTTCAGATGTGATGTGTTGACTAGTAATTTATATATATATATATATGAATTTAGATATTTGACTTTTATTTAAATAATTTTAATATAATATTTTATAAAAAAAATTATATTTTCTTAGAAATATAAATTTCAAATAATAAAAAAATGTATTTGTTCATTTTGGATTCAATTCAAAACATTAGGTAAATTTAATTTTAATTCAAAAATTGTTACGATTTAAAATATCATATCAAATATTGATATATTTTGAATAAAAAATTTAATTTGTATTTAATATACTCCCTCTGTCCCCCCCCCCAAAAAAAAAAAGTCTTATTTTGCCATTTTCCTATATTTCATATCAATAGTTTTATTTCTATTTTTAATAACCAATCTCTACCCTTTTTTACAAAACTATCTCCAATATTTTGGCAATAATTATATAAAATGAGTCAAGATCTACTATTATACTCAAACGTTAAACTTAGAGGTTTATGTGTTAGAATGTTTTGGGGGTCCAACTAGGCCATAAGAGAAAAAGTTTCAAATATTAAGGATAAAAGTTAAATTGTGATTAAGGTTTAAATATTTTGAGAATAATAATAAAATTAATATTTGATGTGATGTAAATAAATTGTGAATAGTTTAGTAAAGGATGACATAGTGACGTAAGAATAATGAGTTGAAACTCGGAAGAAGCTCTATGGTATAGTATGTCCATTATCACCTTCTCTCTTTCTCTCTCTCTCTCTCCTGACTGCAATTCAATTCAGCATCTACAATCATGTGAAGGAGTTCATCAAGATACTAGTGCATGCTATGAGGAGTGCATGTTCTAAAGGAACCAAGACCAACCACACCCAAACCCAACAATCTGACTCTCAACTACTCGTAAGTCATATTTCTCACATTAATTAAAAATTAATTAGTTAGTGTGTTTACACAAAACTAGAGCCACCATATTTGTCACACATCTACTCAAACTGTGTTTACTTAGATTGAATAATACTCCCTCCGTCCATTTACAAGGATTATATTTACTTTTGGCGCGGTGTTCAAAAAATAATAATATTTTAATTATAGTGAGTAGTTAAAAGTAGTGTAATGACATTTTTGCCCTTATTTTTTTTTTTGTGTAAAAGTAATGATGTGATGTAAAGTAAGGGTATTTGTGGAAAAAAGTAGGGTATTTAATGAAATGTAAACTTTTTAATTAGATGTCCCAAAATAGAAACATGTAAACTTTGTAAGCGGACGGATGGAGTATTAATTTATATTTTAATTGATTGAAACCTGAGAATGAGAATGATTAAAATGTGTCTTAATAATACACAAGTCAAAATAATAATTAATTTATCCTACAAAATATAGTATGCTATGTTGCTTTAAATTCACTTATTCATTCTTAGCTCCCATTTTACTTCAGGAGAGTAGAAGAAGACTGTCAAATTACGAATTGAAGTCCACCAAGTCCATCTAGATAGCTAGCACCCAGCCCCAAGGCCAAGGTGCGACTTTTACAACATTAATTTTCATTTGGGAATATGTGTACCAGGTGTGTGTGTATATATATATATATATAGTGCAGAAAATATTATCATCAAAATTCGTGTATTCATTCTACTATAAAAATATATGTAGATATAGAATTAGCTCTCATGCACTCGGACAACGTATAAACTCACCATTGAAGATCCTAACTCTACACCATATCAACTAATGGAGAGCTTCTTTTCACTCAGCCTAATTTTTACAAACCGAAACCCAACTGTCAGAACGACGGTTTCGGTTCGGTTTGAACACGGTTTCGGTTTGAACCGTAACCGCCGGTTCGAAAACCGAATGGGCAAGTCTGATCTGGTAAGTAAGTAATGTGGATTGGATTATTAATTAATTTAGGCAGTCTTGTCTTTGGAAGGGTGGGTGGGTGGGGTGGGGTGGGGTCATTTTTTGTGTTTGTGTTTGTCTTGGCCTGAAAAGTGGGATACATATACATACATATATACATACATGCTTGGAAGATTCAAATTTTCAAAATATTTTAGAGATTGGTAATAATAAAGTTGTGTTTTTGGTTGTCCGGAAATTAAAGACCATCGAGGATGAGGCTGCTACGAATTTTCGTATTTACTGAGTACCATTTATATATTACCTCCGGCCGGCTGGACCCATTTATTTTTTTCATGTTGTTGATATTTGAATATTAATTATTATATGAATATGTAGTATAAATAAAAGAAAATAACAAAAGTATTTATATTAATGTCTTATAATACTATTATAATGACATTTGTGCAAAAAAATATACAAATATAAAAATATTTTTAATGTTTAGTACGCAAAAACTAAATGAAACCCTTAAAGCCGGACGAAGATAGTATGTTTTATTCTTATAACTAATTTCAAATTTTAGTTTATTTAGGAATAATTAAAAAATTAAATAAAAATTAGAGTTTGTTCACTTTGTTTGTTTTATATATATATATGGTAGTTATATATAATTGTGTTAATAATATAAAAAATAATATTTTGTAATGAGTTATTAATTTTTTAGTGGATAAAATATATATTATACTACTATATATTTTGTTAACATTTGTATATTGTATTTCTTTAAAAATAATTTATGGACAATCATTCCATCTAAAAATACTACATAAATGAACAGACCTAAGATTTCAAGCTTAATATAAATAAATGTTGAATATGATATTTTGAATAGATGATTGATTTGTTTTAAATGAGTAGATATTTGATTATATTTATATTTGAATTTTTGGATTGTTATATACTAAATTTCAATAGATTCGAAATTTAAAACATATTAATTTGTTAAAATATAATATCCACATGTCCCATGTTGTGAAGTTCTTGTTTAAAGTTTTTTTTTTTTTTTGTATTTAGGGTGTTTTTTTGTTTTTTTTTTTTTTTTAATTTCAAATTAATTTTTTCATTATTTATTTTATACGATTTTTAATAAAATATATTATTTTATTTTATAAAACACTACGATTTGAAATACTATTTAAATCAAATTCCAAATCACCATCTCAATTTCAAATCAAAATAAAAAACATCAAAAACATATATATATATATATATTGGATGAACACAAGATGAGAAAATTTTATTTGTAATCAATACATACGGTGAAATTAAATAAAAAAGTTTCTAACACAAACATAAATCATTTATATACTTAAATAAAATAAAATAATTTTTCCTTCATTATAAATTTATTAATTCTAAATATTTTAATTTACTGATTATAAATAAAATAATTTTTTCATCGCTATAATTATATCAGATTTTTTTCTCTTTATTGTTAGCTAAATTTATGCACAATTTATTTATAATAAACAATTTTATTACTCACACTTTATTTAATAAGTAATAACTATTTTGTCATTATTTTTTCTAATTATTACATTATCTTTTATCAAATTTTTAATAAATTTTCTATAATACATTATTTTATATTTTATCTACTCCACTTTTATATAAAGTATCATTACTTTTTAGTTTTTGCCCGAGCAAACCGGACGGGAGAGTAATTTTTTATTACAAAATTTAAATAATATTTTAAAACTATCAATAATACAACTCACGTAAAAACATGTTATGAGAAAACGACAAAGAAAGCAAATAAAGAACATAAAAGTTTTACGTAGTTCGATGACAGTGTGTCAACCTACGTCCACGGGCAGGAACCGAAGCAATTTTATTATATTGATTCAGAGATTTACAATTATGTCATCCAACTAAGAATCATAGTTGTCTATTTATAAGCACTCCAAAACACCCTAAACCCTAAGTCTATTTGTTATTAATTAGGATAAGCCCAAAAGGAACCCTGTCAATTGAAACAACCCTTTTCGCTTTGGTTTCGGGTCGGGTAGACCGCTAAATCTAAGTCACGTTTCAACAAATTCCACCTTGACTTGGAGTTTCTCCAACCGCCAAAGGTTCATCAGTATCTCTCAGTCATCTCCTTTCTGCCAGATGCCCCGAAGGCTTTACCTCCTGCAAATATTCACCAAGTTCAAGCAGTGCTTAAACTTCTCCGTCGGTAGCACCTTTGTCAACATATCAGCTGGATTGTGTTATGTAGCTATTTTCTGAATAGAAAACCTATCTTCCTCCAGAACATCACGAATAAAATTCAACCTTACAGCAATATGTTTGGTTCTTTCATGATACACTGGATTTTTAGCCAAACTCAAAGCACTTTGACTGTCACAAAATAACACCAGTTTCTCCACCTTCAGACCCAAACTCTGCACCAGACCATGTATCCAGATACCCTCCTTAATACCTTCATTCATTGACATGTATTCCGCCTCAGTCGTTGACAGTGCAACCGTAGGTTGTAAAGTAGATTTCCAACTGACTGCACATCCAAACAAAGTAAAGATAAAACAAGTCAGTGATCTTCGTTTCACCAACTCACCCCCGTAATAAGAGTCTGCATAGCCAACAAGACCATCACCAAGGCCTTTATCATCATACACCAGACAAATATCAGACGCTCCTTTCAAATATCTCAAGATCCACTTTACAGCTTCCCAGTGAGCTTTACCCGGATTAGCCATAAACCTGCTCACCACATTAACCGCATAAACGAGATCCAGTCTCGTACATACCATTGCATACATAAGACTTCCAACTGCACTTGAATATGAAACCGTCTTCATGTAGCTAACCTCTTCATCTGTACCCGGTATAGTGTTTCGATCAAGTTTAAAGTGTGCCGCCAAAGGGGTACTTACCGGTTTGGACTGATCAACAGAGAATACCTGCAAAACTTTCTCAATATACTTTTCTTGAGAAACCCATAGCCATCTTGCTTCTCTATCACGCCAGATCTCCATACCAAGTATTTTCTTTGTCGCACCCAAATCCTTCATCTCAAACTCACCCTTTAGTAGAGCCTTCAAGTCATTAATTACAGTCATGCTTTTAGCTGCAATTAACATATCATCCACATACAACAGCAGATACACAAAGGAATCAGTAGAAACTTTCTTCAAGTAAACATAGTTATCAAACTGATTACGAGTATTACCATTAGACACCATGAATAAGTCAAATCTCTTGTACCATTGCCTCAGAGACTGCTTCAAGCCATACAAAGATTTCTTTAACAAGCATATCTAGTCCCTTTTAGAACTGTAGAACCCCTCCGGTTAAGACATGTAAATCTGTTCTTCTAGATTACCATGAAGGAATGCTATTTTTACATACATCAAGCTGCTCCAGCTCCAGATCAAAAGCACCCACCATTGCCAAAAGAACCCGAATGGTTTTGTGTTTAACCACAGGAGAAAAGACTTCATGGTAATCGATTCCTTCCTTCTGTGAGAACCCTTTTGCCACCAGTCTCGTCTTGAACCTAGCAGGTTCAATACCAGGAATTCCCTCATTTCTTTTAAAGTCCCACTTGCATCCCACTTGCTTCACCTCTTTTGGTAGTGCAACAAGATCCCAAGTCTTGTTCTTTTCAAGAGACTGCATCTCTTCATTCATTGTCATAATCCAGGTTTCTGCATCTTTACTCGCCATAGCTTCTTTATATGTCTTTGGCTCATCAAAGCCAAGATCATCACCAACCGTCAGTGCATAAGCCACATAATTCATGTCACATGTATTGACACATCCTGCAAACCTAGCTGGTTTCTGAATATTTCTCTTCATTTTCTTGCTACTATGGAATCTTCAACTCCACTACCAGTGATGACTCCAAATATGAGCATATTCTTAGCTTGACAAAATGTGTATTACTCGAATTTCTGTATAAAAATCATCATAATAACTCGTTAATGGCATACATTATTGATCTATATCGCTTGGCATGATCCAGAGTTCGTTGTTAAGATTATTAACGATTTTTGCCCTTTTTAAGCGGAAGTCTGGTGCCAGAAAAGCTAAGGCATGCGCCACAAGCGGTAGCCACCTCCGCTCGCAAGCACCCAGAGTATCTTCTGAAAAAGACTAAGGCATGAGAGACAAGCGATAGCTTCCACCGCTCACAAGCGATAGCCTCTCCCGCTTGCAAGCGACAACCCAGACGCCCACCGCTGCAGAATGTCTACAGATTTTGACTAAGTATTCCAACTGCAGCGGTGCAGCCATTTCACTTCCAGCCAGCACAAACGAGCCAAGCTGCGGTGATGCCCTCCAGCTCTCTGGCAAGCGAGGAAGATCTGTGCCCTTACAATTCAATGCAAGCGAAGCGGGCGCCCTGAGAGTTATGGCCAGCATCTGATTCAGCAGAATAACTACCAGCAACCGCCTAACTGCGCAGTGGTTGGAACCACCCAGCAACTGTTTACAACCGTCCCAATTCACCTACTATAAATAGGGCCAGATATCTTTATATAAATAACTTCGCTTTTGGAGTATTCTAGCAATTACTTTATGCGGAATATAGTTGTCTTCCTGTCTTCGAGAGCTCCAACCCTGTAAGGGAATTATCCACAGGAATGGCCAAGGGAGTAGGGATTTCCCTCAACCTTTGGCCAATTCTTTACCGCTTTCTTAGATTAGATTACTGCTTTCAATTACAGCTTTGTAGTTCTAGTCTTTCCAGCTTTAGTAGTAAGCAATGAAATATCGTTCAGTTCTTCATCTACATTTCCTCTACACTTTATCCACACTTATATAAACTTTGAATTTAAAGAACTTCAGTTCACTGGTTTACCGCATGAGAAGAATTGATTATCTGAGCTTTGTCTTTTGCCAAAAGCGTTTTCAAGGTAGTTCAATGTAGTTGAGTACGTGGGAGCCTTGTCAACCTACTTAACTACTGTTCTGAATTCAATTTTGATTAAGAAGAGGTAACAAAAGGGTAAAGCCAATAATGAGGCAGAA